CCTTCGACCTCGAGGAGAAAGTAAGGCAGAGAAGGCGGGAGAGGGGGAGGGGGCGAGGAAGCTGCTAACACTGAAGGAACAGGTTGGAACTGCCTTCATGCTTGTGGACTCGTTTGCTGCTGGTAAGTCAGTTACCTCCTCCTCCTCCTCCTCCTCCTCCTCCTCCTCCTCCTCCCCCCATCCTCCTCCTCCTCCTCCCATCCTTCTCCTCCTCACTGGTTCTCAGGTTTCCTTGCCCTCCTCTGCGTCGGCTCGAAGGCATCGAGTGCTTTGAAGATGATCTCTGAGGTGAGAATAGATGCGAGGACAAGAAAGGAAGTGAGGAAGAGCGTGAGGAACAACACACGGAGGACGACGGAGATAAAGAAACGGAGCAGGAGGAGAAAAATGGGATGAGGAGGGGGGAGCAGGGGGGCGGGAGCAAGAGGGGAGGAGGAGGAGGAGGAGGAGGAGGAGGAGGAGGAGGAGGGAAGAAGGAGGAGAGGAGGAGCTGACTGTAGGCTCAGGGCCTCAATTTCATTCACTCTCAGCTTGGAATCAGCAAGATGAGCGACAAGTTCTTAGCGCCTGCTAGCAACTTCAAAGCTACAATGAAGGTGAGGAGAAAGAAGAGGAGAAGAGGGAGAGGGGAGGGAGTTGAGGCGGAGGAGGACAGAGGAGAGAGTGATGGGGGAGGAGAGCAGAGGATCTGAAGGAAAGGAGGGGAGGGGGGAAGGTGGGGGATGTAGAGGATGGAAGTTTGAAGGGGATTTGCGTGACGTTTGAATTGCAGGAGGTGAAGAAGAGGATCGCAAGGTTTCAAGAAGTCGAAGAACAAGAAAAGGCAGACACGAGATGAGATGAGATGAGATGAGATGAGATGAGATGAGATGAGATGAGATGAGATGTTTATTAGTTGATGAGAGGGTTCTTTATTCTTTATTCTTCTTGTATCAAATTGTAATTTTGTTCCAACACCTTTTATTTTGCTTCCGGATCCCAGTGTCTCATGTCATTGGAAGGCGTCTACACTTGCAATGCAAACTTTTTCCACATCATGAAACACTTGCTCGATTTCCTGCAAACAATCACCATCATCTTCCGCGATGTATCACGACAACTGCTACCTGATCAGCTTTCACCTTCTTGACAAGACCTCGATTCTGCAAACATCTTGTGAGTCTCAAGATACAAATGTTATACAGCTCGTCAACTTCTCCAACAGATTCTCATGCAATAATCACAATCACTACTGTTCTGATCCCCTCTACTATCATTGCCGTCTTGTCATCATAATCAGCATCAGCGGCATTCTCATCATCCCCATCATCATTACATCCATCTCCATCCCCATCATCAAAATCGTCCAACCTCAAGCTGTTGCACCACCGGGATCGTCTCTTCCTTGAAGGTTACGAATCTCTTCTTGATGGAGACAATGTTGTCGTCTGCTCTTCCAGATGTTTTCCCTCTCTCAAGCAGTCGTTGTTGCATGACCTGTTTGTTGCCAAATTTGCATCAACAAAGAAAGTTTCACATCCCACAAGGAAACGAATCGCCAAGAAAATATTATGAGCTCATGCGTAGTAACTCATTCCTCGCCTTCTTTAAGCTCGGATCATACCATCAACAATAACATAACAAAGATTCAGAATCAATATCCAACCTGACCCATAAATCGAAAGTTCCGACAAACAACACAGCATAAAACCATTCCCATTCAAAGGAACGTTCCTATCCAGTATCCTCTCCTCTCCTCGTCTCCTCACCTCTTCTGGGCAATCGAAGAAAAGAACCAGCGATATGACAGCTTTCTCTCCAACAACCTTGGAGAAGAATTACACTTACCGATTGATTGCAAAAACCAACATGATCTTCTGTTCCTCCCTTCCTCCTCCCCTCCTTGCCTTGTTCCCTCTTTCGCTCCCTCCCTTCCACTTCCCTTCCTTGCCTTGCTCCCTCGCTCCCTCGCTCCCTCCCGCCAACTTTCCATTCCTCCCTCTTTCTATCAGTTCATCCCCTCCTCAACTCACTTCTTCCCATCCCCTCAAGTTCTCAATGTTGCGCGGAAATCCATCGATGAGAAAGACCTGAGCAGTTGTAAATTCTTGTGATTCTTTTTTGGTTGTATTTTTTTTGACCTGGGAACGATCGGGTGACTTTGCCGCGACCTCTTGCATCGCACGGTTGAGGAGGCGGCAGGTGATTTCGACCGGAACGATCTTACCCTTGGGAGCAAGTCAGGGAGAGCTCAAATAATTCAACGAGCTTGCAAGCAGGAACAAGTAGGGAAGGAACAGGAGAGTACTGGTCCAACAAGGGTGAAGCAAGGCACTCGATGACGACGAGGGAGGAGGAGGAAGGAAGAGGAGCAGGAGGCTCTGATGGCGGGGGAGGAGCAGAAAACTGAACATCCCCTACCTCTGCTATATAGCTCTTGATCAGCTGGGAATCGCTGGAGTCGGTGGCCTGCTCTGCCCTTAGCAGGTCCCCAGCTGAGAGGTGGGTGGCTCCGAATCTCTTGACAAGCTTTTCGCTTTGAGTTCCCTTGCCGCTACCAGGACCTCCCAGGATGAAGATGACTCGCGGGAGCGAGTCAACCTTTAAGCATGAACATAGTAAGTGGCAGCAACCAAACAAGCAAGCAAGAAATCAGCTACTTCCACCAACTTTGCCATCATCACTCATCAATCATACTCTCATGTACATTCTCATCATCATCTTGCTCATCATCAGCATAGCATCGAACAATCTCATTAGTGCTTCAATCAGGTCGACGGCAATGCATCGAGTCACCATGCTTGTTCCTGATCAACATCTACTACCATCACCTCCATCTCTCAACAGAGTCAACAGATTGCAACCAGGAAACCTCACCTTTTTCGGTCTTGCATCTTGCAGGAAAGGCGTGATCTTGCTCTTCACCACCTCAAACGCATTATCCAGCACGTCATTGACTACTACTTCGTCGAACAGCCCTGCTTCTTTGCTCGCTTCTATCTCGCTAGACGCTGCCGACACCCTCCTCTCTATGCTCGCCTCTGTCTCTGTCTTCCTCAGCCTCAGCCGATTCTCGAGCTGGTCGAGGGAAGGAGGAGCGAGAAACACGTACAGCCCTTTGATCCCACTGCTCCTCAGATCCCTCGCTCCCTTCACGTCCACGTCCAGCACCGGCAGCAGACCCCTGGACATGACGTCCAGCAGCGCCGCTCGGCTTGTGCCATACAGCTCCCCATGGACTTCGTTGACTTCCAGGAACTCTCCTCGCTCCACTCGGTTCCTCATCTCCTCTTGGTTGGTGAACCAGTACTCCCTCCCATCAACCTCTCCCGATCGAGGCTGCCTGGTGGTATGGCTGACACAGAAGCCGATCTTCCCAGCCAGCTCCTCCTTCAGTCTGTTGATAATTGTTCCCTTCCCTACCCCGGATGGCCCGCAAATGACGACTGTCTGTATGTCTTGAGGGGAGGTCGACTTCTCCTCTTGCGTCATTGCGGAGTCCTTCAGGCTAACGCAGCGAACCGCGCGGTTGGTTCTCTTGCTGCGGAGCAGGAATCCTCCTTGTCTGCAGACTGACTGTTCACACCTGCGATATCTCAACGGGCTCACTCTTGAGAATGCATCTCCAGCTTGGAACCCCTGGGTGTATCGAAGCAGTCCCACCACCAGCACAAGGATCATAGCCTCGTTGGCGCCATGGAGACGAGGCATGGCGGGTCAAGATCGAAGGCAGCACAAGAGCAGGAGCTCTCTCGTATGTCTTTGATGCTGCTTGTGAAGTGTCTTGTCCTTCTCCTGCTCTTACTTCCTCCCCGCTCACTTCACCCCCATCGCGGCCGCCACCTTCACTGACGCTGGTTCCAGTGCCGTTTCAACTTGTCTAACGTTCTGCTCGGCCGTCCGGTTGAGAGTCCGGCCCGGCCCGGACTGAGTCACGCAAGCCACGGGCCCGATCGGAGAGTCTGACCGGGCACGGTGATCCGCCCGCCGGGTGCGATCGGATCGGCCCGTGACTCTGCGGCCACCAGGCCCGGGCTCCCGGCCGGAGGGCGGCGTCTGGCAGTGACAGTGCCACTCAGACCCGGTACATTCCACCCGGCCCCGGGCGAGTCACCACCGTGACCGTACCGTGGCAGTAGTAACTTCCGGGCCCGGCGTTGAACGGGGGCCCGGCGGGCCGGGCCGCGGCCCTCTGATGAGCCGCCGTGACTCGCCGAGGGCTTGATTCAACGGGCCGGGAGTCGTACCGTAGTACCGATCTTTAACTCTCAGCCCCGCCGGGCCGGGCCGCCGGGCGCCGGGCCCGGCCGGGCGGCCGCCCAGCGCCGGCAGCCCGGCCCGGAGTCCGGCGGGCCACTGTTCAATAACTTTGAGTCACATTGAAACTCGAAAGCCTCGGTCCGGGTGCCATTCAATGATTGCCACCCTTAAGTCACTTCAACGGTTGCACTACTACACACCCGGCGTACATTCTGGCCCGGGTCTTTTGTGGAAGTCGTTTCTTAACAAATCGACGATATTTGCATTTCGTTTCTCAGGGGAGGGGTGGATACCGACCCCTCACGGTTTTTGCGGGGTATTAAGCTGGTTTGCGGTCGGTGGGGGGCCGGTACTTGTAGAATTCCCGGGTCACCTCGAACTTGAGCTAGCACTGGGTAAGTCGAAAAGACTCCTCTTGGGTTACCGTTACGATTCAATTTGAAGTAACGAGTGGTCAAAAATTACCCCACCCCACATCTTAAAATCCATGAAGGGGGTTCTGAGCCCAAATTTCGAATCATTGTTATTTGACCTGAATCACTACCCCCTACCCCCAATCCAGATGAAATCGCTGGAAAAAATAAGGTAGAGGTGGTCTTATTCCTCTACTCCACAGGGCGACACCACAGGCCAGGGCAAGAGGCGATGGGGAAGGCACCTTACCAACGCGCTAGATACGATTATGCAAGCTTAGAGACTTCGAATCTTGATGTAGTCTAACATGATTGAAAGCAGAACTATGAAATTGTTGCCATCTGGCATGCATGCCTCGATTTACGGACAGCCGATATCCCTCACTCTGGTGATAAAACCATTCAGCGTGTGGTGGATACAAAATTACGTTGCAAAGGCGTGATGCAACTTGCTGCATTGCTTGATAGAACATATGCTTTGGACTCGATGACGATAGAGCGATTCAAAACCATCATGATTCTGTGGATAGTTCGACAGATTGATCACTTCTTGGATACACAGCAGAGCTGGCTTTTCGCATCCTTGTTCAAAATCCTTGTTCAAATCAGTTTCCCACAGAGCGGCCTTTAGGTAAGATAGCCCTACAACTTGCATCATCGGACTATCGCTTTCTTCCGAAGTCCAGGCTCTTCCTGCCCCGCGTGAACTTAATGCCGACGTCGTGTTGGGCGACACTTCAAGTTTCACATGGATACGCCATGTTCTCGCCAAAGTGCTAATGAAGACTTGCAAATGCTTTGCGATGTTTCATCTCGTTCATTCTTACTGAAATATACCACCTTGAAGTGGGCTTGTGCTTGTGTTGTTCTACATCCTGCACCATGCGCTTGCAGCACTGGATTGAATTGAATACATCAACTGTCATTTCTCATGTCTACACCTGAGTGTATGCATGCGTGCACATCATGGAAAGAAACATGTCATCTTACAATTTCCAAATAGTGATGCATGTTAGCGTTGTAAATGCTAATGCTAAACATCACTGGTTTTGCTTGTCAATGACAACTTGAGCAAATCACAAGAGGTTTTCACAATAGAGAAGCATGCATACATGATGCGGTTGACCTTACAAGAAATTCACACAAACATTTGTTGGTTCATTTCTGTGCATGTCTCCTTTATGTATGGAACGCATCATTAGGACTCTAAGCTTACGGTTGAACATGATTGCAATGAAAGAAACCTTAATGAAACGATGAAAGAATCCTGAAGGAAGGTATGATTGTATGCTAACATCACAAAAAGTGAAAGCTCTCAACAAAATTAACCATCGGTGAAGGCTCAAGATTGCGCGCACTGGCTGCAATGGACTTCGCGAAGCAAACCTAGAAAGTAAGACATATTGAAGTGCGCATGTTAATCACGGTACGCTGACAGGAAAAAAAATGTTTACGTGTATGAGATTGCTCTCAATCACAGCGTCAACTTTGTGAACATTCCATGGATTCATATTGCTCTTTTTATCATTATAATGTTGAATTGAACAATGCTCACTGTCATGCATAGTGAAACCCTCGACTTCAAAATGTCACAACCATCGAAGGTGTTGGAGCTTTGAATCATCGAATATTTCCATGCTTTCTGTTCTTTGTCACTGTCCGAAAATAAGCCTGAGACTATTCATATCAGCATTTTAACCCATTGCAGCAAGAAAATTCCAAGGCTGTCGATCACTGTTGCATTCGTCGCTCCTAGTTTCCATCAAACGACGAAACAAACCTTCTCCCGGTAGATCTACTGGCAAAGTGCCATGTAGGGCTTGACAACGGTCTTGTATGGCACGGTACGAAGAGCTTCCTTGTCAAGATGCGCCATGTTGCAGTTATCTGTAACTCAACCTTGCACAGGCCGTGAGCGTGTGTAAGGCATGAAACTCAGGAGGAAATCAATTTCGGAGGAGAGCAGAGAGATCCAGAAGCGTTGTGACTGAGGGAGCTGAAGAATGGAGAGCGAAGAGTACAACTTGCAAGGGCAGGCAAGGCCCGAGGGAGGAGGGGAAGCTCAGGGAGAAGCGTGGAAGGGGGGGGAAGGCGTGTGCCCCGGCTTCAAAATTTAAAAAGCCATTAATAAACAGGATTTGGACATGAACCTGAAATATTACTAATCAGATTTCAGGTATAGCTGAAAATCGTCGTATGACCCCCATTTCCGCACCCACCACCCTCCAGACTACAACTTCCACAAAAGACCCCAGAATGGTATGGTCCGTCCGACCGGGCCCGGGTATCCCGGCCGGGCGATGATAGCCACCGGGTACTGATGTGGGCCTCCGATGAGCCTCCGCGGCCCGGCCGGGCACTGACCGTCGGCGAGTCGGACGGTGATCGGACCGTGATGGCGGCCCGGCGGGGGCCATCATACTACTGTGACGCTCAGGCCTGAGCGCCGCCGCGGCCGAGGCGGCCGGACCGTGCGGCCGCACCGACCGTACTACCGTACCGTACGGTCACGGTATCGCTCGGACGGTGGGTCACCAGTCACCCGCCCCCCCCGGCCCGACGGTGGCCGACAGTGAACTCAGTTGGAACGCCGCGGGCGGCCATGATCCGGGACTCCGGGCCGGGGAGTCCGGCCGCCGCGCCGCGCTGTCGATTCAGACTAGCTTGCCGCTGACTGAGTTTTGACTCCGGCCTCCGGGACTCGAACTTCGGCGCGGCCCCCGCGGCGTTCCGAGTGACTCAGTGAGTACCGTACGGTCCCGACAGCGCGGCCTCCGAGCCTCCGAGTCCGGCGAGTCCCGGTCGGCCGTGCCATTACTGAGTTCGGCCCCGGAATCATAGTACGGCTCATATAGTACCGCGGCGGCACAGGAGCCGGTCCATCATATCATGGTCGCCGCAGTGATGGTTATTATTATTATTTTTTTTAACTTCCGCTAAAACCCCTACAATCTATAAAACTGTTACTACGATCAGACCGGAAGGGAGGGCGGGTAATACGATCGACTCGAAATACTAAGGTGTTTATTATGAAATGTTGAACCCTGAACCCTAGCTGCTGATGATTTCCCGCCGCAAAAGGTCGGCTCGGTCATCAGTAAAAAACATTTTATTTGAACCGATGCGGTCGAGGTCAAGAGTAAAATATAAAATAAAGTTACATAAGACCTGGAAATCTCGAATATCAATCATTTATTTTGAAATTTCAACACAGAATTCAAAGATCGCCTCAGTCGTTACAAAACAATCATCCGTAACCGTTTGGATTACAATAATTTTCCTTCCTGAAAAAAATGTTTTCATTCATCAATATAAGCTCTATACTATGACAAGATAACATATGAAGTCCATTAGATAATCTCTTACCTTGCACTAGCTAGACGCGGGAACCTAACCACCTGATTGCGTGAAGCTGTCCCAATGCTATAGCAGCGACGATGGTGGTGGTGGCCTTGTGAAGGGAGGGAGGCAACACCTGTAAATGCATCTCCTCTGAACCACTCTCCATGGCCGAGTTTCCTCAGGTATGGCTCGACTATCTTGTTGCCAGCAGCCAGGGGAAGGGTCACCGACTGCAGGATTCTCTTGAAGCCGCGTGGACAAAGATCGCCTCGCAGAAACTGTTCGAAGTTCTGTGCTCACCTCACCCCTTCACTTGGTTTCTTTCCGCGAGGATATTCCGAGTGGCTCTGGTCCTGGTTGCTTTCCTGCTATTCTTCGCACCTCCCTTTGAATCTGCGCTATGGTCGTTTGGGAGCATCCAAGAAGCGGAAGGGCCCGCTCGCTACTTTCGCTTCACAGCAAGAAAGCTTCAGAATGGACTGGCAGGGCCTGCAATAACTTCTCCTGGGATACAATCCTTTGGGGTACTGAAAGGCAATTGCATGATTCCGATGCCAGGAGTCTCAAACGACCAGGAGCACTTTTATGTACAACGGGGGGCAAAAGCGTCCTTGACCCTGAGATCAGATTCGCTACTCTCTTTCAACGGCTTCTACTTGATCACCCCTAACATAAGTAGTGGCCTCCTCCCCGTTGAATTCACGCTTGAGTCGTCTAGTGATGGCGAGCACTGGAGAGTGTACGTGATGCCGTCCATGCTGTCCTTAGCTCGCGTCGCGACTGTCTCAGTGGGTGAAGACGTGCCCATGGAAGATTTCTCGAGGGGTTTTCCTCCGTGGCAGCCAAAACAACTGTATCAGATCGATTGGAACGCTATCACATGCCGGTGGCCTGCCTTCGCGAGCATCGTTGAGCGATTGTTGAAAGGGCTCGGGCTCTTGCTTGCTGTTGTATGCGCAAGTTGGGGCAAGTGTAAGTCGTCAGTGCAGGCAAGAGCGTTACCAAAGATAGCAATGATGTACGAGTGATGAGATTGTGCGCAGAGCGTGTGCTTGGGATACTTCCTTGCTGCCGTCGTTGGCATCTCTCAGTTCATCGTGAGGGTGAGCAGCTGCAACTTGAAGGCAGACTACGTTGTGCTGATCGAGAGCCTCACGGTACTGCTCAGCCGCGCTCCTCCTGCTCACCTGACTTTGTTTGCTGCAGATACTGTTCCTGTTTCCTTGTCCCCTCGTCTTCCACGAGTGCTTGGTGTTGGAGCTCGGGGCGGCATCATCATTACTCCTCCTCGTGGTCGAAGCTGCATTGAAATCAGACGGGGCATACATCAGAGCTGTGGAGTTGTTCTTCTTTCTTTTCCTAATAGCAGTCCGTGAATCTCACAGGGCTTCCTCCCGCAAGTCTGCCATGATGCACCAGGCCAAGCTCGACAAGGTCTGGGAGGACTTTCTATCCGAGGGAGAGGAATCAAGCTTGATGCTGCTGGAGGAAGTTGCACAGGCTTGTCACAGAAAAGCACGCAAGACGGCGAAGTTGCGGCAATTTCGTATGGCATACAATCCAGTAACCGAGGAGGATTCAAGGACAGACATGGATAGGATTCGAGCCCTCGAAACATTTGCTTCGTCGAGAAGATTTCGCACTCCCTCCAAGTTTGCAGCATCCGAGGCCTTCACCTCCTTTGCAAGTGTATCGCTTGCTGAAACCAAGGAAATCACGAACTTTGACCAACTGAACGCTCAGGGAGTGACGATGCAGAAACTGTTAGTCGACAAGTTGTTGGTCCTCGTTGAAAGACTGCAGACCGCTCACGGGTCTACAGCTCGTTTTGAAGAGACCCCTATGAAGAGCTTTGAAGCTAGCTGCGAAAAGATTCTTCGCAAATACCATGGAGATGTTGCAAGACATACGGATCTAGTGCGGCAGAGTATCATGTTCGATAGGATACAAGACATCGCAGATTGTCTGCAGACTCTGATGGAAGACAGAGAAGTGGTCATTGTGAGCCTGAAGAACAGACTCGCTGGGAGGGACAAGGTCAAAAACTTGGGACACGTCAGGGATGTGTGTCTCAAGGCACGGTTGATCACAGAGCAAACAAGGTTCTACGGCATTTGTGCATTTGTGTGTGAAATCCGTCTAGTCCTGACTTGTCTGCAATCTGCCGCCACCACGAGCATGTTGAAAGACTTGAAGGGGTACCGGAGAATGCATCAGGTGAACATATCCATCAGATGCTTGTTGTTTTGGTCGAGGCTTGATTGTTCCGCTTGGATCCGGAGACTGAAGCATCACAAGATCCATAAACTCTCGAGGGTCCTGGTTGAAACGCTTGCGGAGACGGGAAGGGAGGCCGGGTCCCTGAACTCACTCTTCCGATCTGCTGCTCACACCTTGACGGACGAAGAGAGACACAAGGACTTGTTGAGACAGAGATGCCTGTTTGCTGGGGATACCCTTGGAAAAAGACTCCAGGAGCTGCAGCATGCAGTGAAGAAGTCATCAGCATCCAGCGTGCTCTTCACTTCCATCCCTTGCACGCTAGCGATGCAGAAGACCTGGTTCAAGGCGCTGCTGATTATATGGGGTATCTTCTATGCAGTCCGCGGTTTCGGGGAAGGAGGATTATGGCAAACGTACATGCGCAAGCAAGTGTTTCAAGTCAGATCGGCAAGGATGATAGTTCTGCAACGAAGGCAGGACTCAGTTTCAGCAGGAGGGAACTATTCTCTTCAGCTGGGATGGATGTTGAACGGGTGTAAGACCTCCTCAGCGGTCCAAGGAGTGGAGGACGGGGATATCTTCTACTTTTCTTTCCCGAGTCTCGAATCAGCCAACGCATTCTACTTCATCACGGACAGTCGCTCCGGAACCGAGGGACGAGACCCTGTCCGTTTCCGGCTGGATGTCACCTCCGCATCGGGGAGCCCCTGGCAGCTGGCAAACACAAGCTGGACCCTCAAGTCCGGTACCAAATGTGATTGGGACCGTTACAATGCCGCCTGCATCCCCCGTTGGGATGAGACTTATCCCACTGACCTGCAACGAGGAGCTGAAAACGTCATCAGCCTTGTCACCCCTCTGTACATGGCTGCTGGCACCGTCTTCTTCCTCTTCCCCGTGGTCCTCGGGTGCTTCTCTGGCCCCATCGTGAGCATTCTTGGGAGGCCTCGCATGGGAGTTGTGTGCTTCTCCTTCGCCTTCTGGGGGACTGGTGTTCTAGGGATCGCTGCCGCGATCAGCAGTGCTGTGCATGGAGATTCTGCGGGGGTCGCCTTGTTGTTCTTCTTGCTAGGCTGGGGATCTTCGACCACAGGACTGTCTTTGGTATTTTGGGAGGAGAAATTTTTGCCGACAGTTCTCTTCAACGCTTGCATAACCGTGGTTGCTTCTATTTCATTTTACTTCATTACTTTGGGGGGAGGGAACTTTCAGTTTCCTATAACCGGATTGGTGTTGTTGGTGAGCTGGATGGCTGTGCAGTTGATGCGAAGACGAGCAATCCATCGAGCATGGCTGGGGATAGAAGACGACGTGAAGTATTATAACGAGGTGTGGCGAGCGCTGACGGCAGACCAAGGGACCATGGGGCAAGTGAAGAAGTTGAAGCAGATTGTCGCTTCCGGATCTGAGGCTTGGAGCAAGGGTGCCATATGCCAGTTGCAAAGGGGGGAGCCCGGGCATGGTATCTCATCTTTGCAACGACCCATGGGATATGACGCGGCGAGGATAACTTGTCTCGATCAGCTCTACAATCAGGCGATGCTGCTCGAGCTTCCCTTCCTGCGCAAGGTGAAGGAGCTGCTGAAGCGGTGGGGAGGGCTTGTGCAGGAGAAGGCGGGGGATGAGAGTGAGATCAGGTGGGTGAGGTATGAGGGGCAGGAGACGGCGGCTCTACACGGCTGGGCAAGGCTCAAGGGCTTCGATCGGTCGATTGAGAAGCTGCACAGGTCATACAAGGGGAAAGTGTGGAGGCTGCTCGACGTGGTGCGGCAATCAATGGTGTTCGAGAGCCTGGAAGAGATCGTGAGATGCTTAAAAGGGATCTGCGAGGACCAGGAGCTCGTCATCCTGCGAGTTAAGAATCGGTTCGATCCGGACTTCACGTCGCAGCAGTCAGGAGCATACCGAGACGTGTGTCTCAACGTCCGTCTTGACAACGAGGAGACTCATCGGCTGGGGGTCAACTTTCACGTGTGCGAGCTGCAGCTGTCGCTCAAGGACTACAAGAGCTGGGCCATGCACAGCAATGGGCACCAGCGATACGTGGCGTATCGAAACACGCGAGCGGAGTGAAGGTGTTTTCAGGTCCTGGGCCTTCGGAAGTGTTGAAGGTAGAACATAGTTTCGATCCGTTCCTCGCGTTTCATCTCTAACTTGCCAAGTTGTTAAAAACCGTCCGGCGAGTCAGGATCTTGAAGAACCACACAGTCACGGTCTTCCACTGCCCGGCCAAGTCTCAAGTCTCAGCGCCGCAGTAACTTTCCTCACACTCAGGCTGCGAGTCCGAGCTCAAAGAAAAAACTTGAGCAATCATCATTCAACTTCGGTGCCCAGAGCCACGGGCGGGTCGCTGTAGTAGGCCCCGGCCTGCCCACAGAAGATCGGCGAGCCTGACTTTCCTATCCGCCATGGCACAGAAACATAGAACTAGGCAGGCAGGTTCTCAAGCGTGTCCGATTTCAAGTGGAAACTAGCAGTTTATATAAGTTTACCAGAGTCTGTTGACCATCTTGCAAGAGATGAAACATGACGACCATAGAAATGTGTGCAGTATACACGGTTTTTATAGTTTTAAGTAATCAATTCCATAATATGACTGATCAGAATATTTTGTATGCAAGAGGGGTAATAGCTTTTATCTTCACGCTTTAATTCATGCTGTTAAACTTATTAAAAAGAATACCACCTCAAAAAGAATCTGTCCTGGAAACTACTGAATCAAACCTACACGCATCCTCCATTTCTACATCTGTACAGTCCGATGAATTCGATGTTGCCCTTTCAAGATCGCAATTCTTTAGCCAATCCATCGCCTCAAAATCATCAATCCACTCTGCTGGGTAGTTTCCAATGTTGAAATCTAACATCAGGTTTTTATGTGAGGAAACCGGAGAGACAGAGGGAGATTTCCCAAAAAAAGCATCAAAGGCCTCCTTGTCCAGTGGATCTTGTGACATCATTGTTTCACCACAGCTGGTTGTCCCGCTTGTCAAAGATCGCAGTGTTTCAGAGACGGTCACGATCTCCACTCGTGCTGGCTCCGGTCCACAAGTCTTCCTTGTGCAGGACAGAGGAAATCAGCCACAGCTGAAACAGTTGGCTGCTTCTTCCTGCTCAACAGCCCTGGCGGTGCTGATGCCACAACAAGCGTGGAGGGATTCGATGAGGGTGCGGGGGGCGGCACGGGTGTGGATTAAAAAGGGACTCATCTTATATATACTAATTGTGTAAAACTGTTTTTGAGAAGTTAAAATAAATTTTAAAAGGATTTGCCGTTAAGCTTTGCTCCTATCTGACAGCCGTATGTGTTACCCCTTGAAGGTACCCACCCTTTTGACTACGTACCCATCTGGATAGAGTTTTTTTGCTATAAAGGACCCCACCCGAATTCACCCAGACCCCATCGTTTCAGCAATGTCCCGCCATCTTTCTTGTGAGGCATGATCAAAAGGATGTATCGTACCCCCACCCCCCTTGACACCTGAAATCTGCTTCTCTTGTACCGAAAACGTACCTTGCCACCCCTACACCTGATAGGCCTCTCCGCAGAACGTTGTGGTCAGCATCAGTATCACAAGGGGTGAGACTAAGGTCAAAGTAGGGGGTAGATGTTTGTTTCGGACATGACTGTAGTGCCATGACAGTCAATCAGTTCTCAAGATCGCGTCGTTTTGAGTGCGTGTGACGTATATGGTCAGCAGGTAAGGTTAAATTAACGTAGCCACGTACAGTAGTACGTTGGTCTGTTGTCGCGTGACTGTGGGGGAAAGGTTGAACGACTAAGGGGTTTCAATCAGCAAGTCGCAAGAGGAAAGGACAGGAGTTTGTCTGTGCTTTGCCTTGCAGGCTGACAGTCATACTCGACACCGCTTGCTGTCACTAGAGGTCTTATGGAAGCGCTGAATTGCGTAGCGTAGGTACTAAAGTTTTACTTAACTTGGCTCTGAATTCAGACACTATTCAGGCTCTGAATAGTTTCCTATGTCACTATTCAGGGCCTGAATAGCGTTTGAATAGCTAAATCACAACGGTTCGACTTCTCGGTAAAAGCCGACGAGCGGCGCCCTGGCAGGGCGTTCCACACAGCGTACACATGGCGTGCGCAGCCTCGTCCGACTTCCTTCTCGTGTACCTCTGCCTCTCCATCTGACTGACAACATAACATCAACTATCATCCTGTCAGCATAGACTCATGCCAGCCTGCACACATGAGCTCACCCTCACTCTTTATCAGCTCTTGTTGCTCGCTGTTGAACATCTCTGAGACAGCAAGATTGTGTTGCTGAAAGCTTTCCTGTTGTGTATTCAACGAGGACAATGATAACGAATCCAAATGTAATGTTCAACGGTACATATGATTAACATACAGCATCTTTTCATAGTAACATGCATATGTTCACGAACAGGCAGAGGTAAAGAGGATATTCCAACGGGCTAACGTCACCGCTTCCTGTGCATGTGTCAAGCTATGCAGATTCCAGTGAGTTCATTTGTAGTCACCAAGGATTGGAGACATTAATCCTGAAGGGGACACAAATATCGTGAGCTTGAGCTTGAATTTAGGAAGTTCATGCAATAAAAGATTTCATACTGTACGTTTCATGTCGTTGATTTCCTGCATTGACAGCATCAGGGATATTGCATGAGCCGCTCATGCAATATCCCTGAAGCTACAATCTCATATGAGTGCAACGCAACCTTCGCATACGCATCAGATCTGCATTCTTTCTGCATAGCATGGCAACCGCATGAATGCATCGATGGAACAAGTGGTTGACAGTTCAAAAAAAGCAATGGTTGTGGTACAAATTGATAACCGGAATCTTTAGCTAGGATCATCTATGGATTTAACCTAGATCTTAACCCCTTTCTGAAGGTTAACTAAAGTGGGCACACTACGCAACGCTATTCAGAAGGACATCCATAAGACCTCTACTGTCTCCCTTCTGAAGATCAAATGATGAATCAACCATGCAAAAAAGACATGTTCGAAAACTTTTACGGAAAGTCTCCGACTGTCTCTCCAGTTTCATCAAGCTCGAATCTAATGTTGGATTTTAGCATGGCTGTGGAGGATTTGCAATGGACTTCAGACTCTCATCCCGAGGAAAATTCGCTGAAAAGAAATTGGGGACCAACATATTCCTAGAACCTGGCCGAACGTATGTTTATGTACATTAAACCCAACTGCATAGAAACCCCATCTTCATTTTCGTTCTAGTGATAAAAGGAAACTTTCATTAAGGCGGACAGGATTCCATCCTATTTTTGTCGGTGTGTTGTCTAACTGCGCACATAGGGCACAATTCAACAGAACAGGTGCGATTAGACTTGAGAGAGATTTCTCAAGTCATCGTGAAGTGTTGATATTGAGCAAAAATTTTCTATGGAGGTCCATTCGTCCATGATCTCAACAATACATAGTCCTTGCATGAAAAAGGGTTTAGGGTTTAGGGTTTAGACTTATACACAGTGGCAGACTGAATCCGACTCATTTAAACTTTCAAGTCGGACTCGCTGTACTATCGGTGGCATAGACAAACGCTGCTCTTGACGCAGTGCCAACCGCCGTTGAAAGAATCGGGGTGCTGGAACGTTCAACAGTTGAACTGTATAGCCTGCCTGACCGAAACCTGCCCATAGGTTTTGACATGGTGTCTGCACACTATTGACTCTTAGTAGTACTGAGCCCGGCGCGGCCCTCACTGACTCAGTGAGTCAGGGCGCGGCAGGCTCGGCCGCCGCGCCGCGCGGCCGCGCCGGTGCCCGGCCAGTGACTGCCCGTTCCGACACCCTGACCGGCGGCCGGTCGCGCCGGGCCTTGCCGCGCCAAGTTGCCAAGTTGGACGGCGCCCCGGGCCCGCAGCCATGATCCCGGCGATCACCGTCCCGGGGCCGTCACGGCGTCCGATCCGGGCCGTGGCACCGTCCGTCACGGACTCCGGTACGGTCCAAACCCGCCCCGCCGGCCACGGGCCGGGGCACCGGGCCGCCGCGGCACTGCTGGCTCCGTGACTGCCAGCGGTGGCAGGCCGGGCCGCCGCCCGGGTCCGGCCGCCCGGCGAGCCGGACAGTCCAGGAGTCCCGCGGCCGCGGCGGGCCGCGGGCGCCGCCGGCCGCCACTGGTGCTCCTCCGCTGGATGCCGCGCCGTACGGACTGAGATGCTGCATTGCGGTATCTGACACGTCACGTGAACGAGGCGAAAGGCTCTCAGTAGTTTTAGGAGATCACCGGGTTTACTCCGGCGGAGCTGCTAGCACGAAGTTTTTCGTAGAGTTTGAACAACCCGCCTCGTTGACTCAATTGGATTCAAACGTGGGCAGAATGTTTGTCTTATGATAACGACTTACAATCCGTTATGAGCTCAGGGCAGAAAACCTCCGGTCAGCGCTGGTGGTTCCCGGAGGTCATTACCGAGATGCAACGAAGGAAGAGCAGACGATCATGATACTTTTCGCTAATGTCCCTCCGGACCTCTGGCGGGTTCGTGTAACACGTATACGACTACCCCTAGATTGCAACATAAAAAGACGGGTTCTTTTATCGCAATGCTATCAAATAGAGTTAAACCTCAACGTTCGGCATCTGTATCGAACATTCTATGTTTAAATCTTTATAAATGAGGGTCACCAACTCATAAGCAAACAGAACGTGAAGCCGCTTGCTCCTCCACGTCCACACAGCACGAGGTCGCCCAAGCTCACAGAAGTGCTCGAGGTAGCCGGAAGAGGATGGCTGAGATCGCAGAGCCTCTCAGGAAGGAAGCGTTCGACTTCTTCTTTGGAGAATCTCCAAGCATCTCTCCTGTGTCTTCGAGCTTGAACCTGATGCTCGATTTCAACATCCAGGAGGAAGCTGCTGAGTGGGTTGACGAATTTGAGACAGTTGACTTCAAGAGACTGTCCATCACGGAGAAGCAGCAAACTAGGACGGTGAACGACCTGTTATCAACGCTTTGCTAGGATATCTTTAAGTTTTATTCGATGTTGTAAATAACCTTCGCCTCGCTACTGAGCATTTTGAGCGCACTCATGCATTCATCAACTAAACTTCTGTCTGTACATTGCATTCAATGGTTTCTTAAATACAAAAAATCACACGTCATTGGGCCTGGATTAGTGTTGCAACCTACGTGCAGGTAGATGACGCTTGTGTTATCCTCCTGTACTCTTCAACTCTTGTCCCCATGATTTCTATTGTAGCTGTAGTTGCAGAACAATATGCGATCACAATTGACGATCGTGTATCACTCTCCATTCTTGCTTGTGCAATACGCACACAACCGCACGCATCATCCTTGCATTTTCTGACATTGCGAAGTAATCTCTTTTGACAGAGATGAAAGACAACCCGATTGTATTGTCTTCCCAGGTCGTTATTTTCAGGCCTTTTCTTGATGTTGAGAGTCCATTACAAAGGACAAGGTCATTTTTTGTTCATTACACCATATATCAAACACCTTCTTCGTTTCCTTGACCTGACTGTCGTGCATGGGAATTCCCCATTGATGTCGTTTGATTGTGTGAAGCAAACTTCCAAAAATTTGGAAGCAGCCTATCAATTGCCCAAAGAATAAGACTCTTAACTCTCTTGAATTGACGTTCTGATATAATACCCGAGCCGCAAATCAGTGCATAAATCAACGAGGTTTAAATACTTCAAGTCAGATGAGTATTTTTTTCGCAATGGCCATTCGATATTTGATGCCGCTGTGAACTTGGGAGCAGAGTTCAGCACTTCATCAAGGAAATAAATAGGTCAGTCTTCTTTGCATTGGGAAACCCAACATCAGGCAGAGAAGGTTGCCGATCATTTTGAGATGGGTTCTACATCTTACAGTCTTCTTCAGGAAGCAACAGGATTTCATGTCAAGAAGCATTTTATTTTTACACAATCTCTTTCTGAAACTGATACAGGTACAGGCTTTCAGGGCAGGATCCAGACGATAACACCTGATCAACACCTTTGCATTAAGCATGCCGAACATACAAATATTTACAATCAGCCTTCAAAGACCAGTCAAGACACAATACAAACAATTTACAAAGATCGTTGAGAACTTCCGAGAGATTACATCAATCGGACTGCTTCGTCTCCTCCCAGTCCGAGGCATCCACCGAAAGGTCACTGGAGGACTCAGAGCAAAACTCGATGCTCGAAACGAAGTTTCCATGGGAGTTGATGGATCTACCCAAACTGTTCCTTGCATTGTCTGCAAAAAGGTAGGATCCTTCCATCACAAAATTTCCGAACCGATCTATGGAATCAGTTGCTTCAGCCTTCTCCAACGGGCTCGACAACGACGAACGCTCTTCGTAGGCCCAAGGCATCCTTCGGTTATCTCCTATTCTGGCTGTTGGAGATCTTGCTATTAGGTCCTCTACTGTCACGCTTTCCATGAAGTGAGAGTACAGGTGTGGAATGTCTGCAAAATCTATTATCTCGTCTTCAACCGTGATGATGCAGCTCTTCCTCCTCGCGGCTTTCATCTCCTTCTCGGGGACAAAATGATCAATGCTGTTTTTCCTCGATCGTTGTTTTGACATTGCTGTGTCAAAGCAATGATTTTCTATCAGTTGTTGATATGTTATTGTCGCAGCTGATCACTGCTGTGGGATCCTTTTGCGCTGTAGTCTGATCCGTACTTTCCCGCCTAATCCGCCTGCTTCTTCAATCCTTTCCCAAGTTTTCAGCGCTTCTGCGTTTTCTTCACTTGCGTTCAGTTCAAGACAAGTTTCTCGTCGTCTTCTTCTCTGGTTACAAGTCTGAGGGATCGATCATGATGTACAACTGACGCTCCAACAACCCAAGCAACTTGCAGCAACAGTACTCAAGGAGTCCCTCGCGCAATGCGGGGTAACCGGTGATCCGCAGTACTTGAATTGGGGTAGGGGTGATATTGCCCACTTCACCCTACTTGATGACGGCCACCAGTAATCTCTAATACCGTCGGTTCGCCGACCACCCCGACCGAGTCCTTAGCACCACCCCTTACCCCCACCACATCTATGCCATTACCCCCTAAAAACCCTTCATGTACCCAACTTTACTCCCAAGTTCCTCCTCCCCCACCCTCCACCCCTGTCCGCCAGCAAAAGGTCCCACAACCCATCTACCTACCCACCCTACTCACTTTTGCACCCATCAAAAGATTGACCACCCCTGTTTGCTCCTCACATATTATCGTCCTTTACGCTCTACTGGGTCACTACCCCTGGTTGACAGGGGCATATTGCCCCTGAATGATACCACCCCTCCCTTCTTCCAATCCCCTGTTCCAAAAACAGCTTCTCCCATCACTTTGTACTGCCCGGTACGCCTCAGTCGGAAGTCAACTGTACCACATAAATTAAGTTAACTTTGAGTAAAACTTCGGCCTATACTAGCATCACAGCTCAAAGTGATGCCTCGTACTGATCTTTAACTTAACTTTGAGTAAAGAAGAAGGCGAGGCTGGCCCACCGTCGCCGTCGGACCCTGAACGCGTCAGTGAGCTGGCCGCTGCCGGGCCTCGCCCGGCCGCCCGGCCCGGCCGCCGGCGGGGGCCCAGTGCCGCACTGGCGGTCTGGCAGTGCTTGTTACCTCAGAACCGCGCCATGGTGAAGGAAGAGAAAGAGAAGGGAGTTAGTTACGAGATGTCATAGTTGGCATGTCAAACTATGAAACAGAGCAGATAGAGCCGGAAGATTGAGTTGAGGTCTTCGCCGTATCTTGCACACTAGCAAGCCCGCAAGCTCGTGAGAAGGAAGAAGCAAGTGGATAACTGGTTCTATGAGCTGGCTCGAAAAGGACTGGGTGGGTCAGACAGGGTTGAAGTGGTGGAAGGAAAGGTTTCTGACGGCAAAGGATGAGCTGCTGAATGAGGTCGATGAATGTATTGAGCAAGACATCAAGGTACGGTTGGATGTCGCTGCCGTTCTGTGTTTACGGATTCTTGTGTCGTCTGGTGTTGATCTTGTTTCTTTGCTGTTCTCCTTTATGTGCTGATCGCCGGCACAGCTTCACAGCCTCACATGGATGCTGCAAGAGGTTGAGATCGCGAATCTGACAGTGTCCATGCTGTCGGAAGATCAGGATTGGTACAGAGACTACGTGGAAGAGCATGCCAAGAAGCGCAAGGAGAAGAATCCTCTCGATGATGATTACTGGTAACAAGTTTCCACTGCACAGCTGCATATCTCGTGATCAAACAAGAAACTTTCTCTATGTCACAAAGTTCGCTGTGTACGGTTTCACTGTTGTTTTGTTTACTGTGATACCTGCTAACATGCTTGTGCATGCTGGCACCCCGATCAGAATAGTCCTTGTCTGTTGTATTCATACCAAAACCTCAGCCTCCTGTCATTCTAACTGAACATGTCTACACGCCTTTGATCTCCTGGTGGCAGGAGCGAAGACGAGGAGCAGGAGGAAGAGGATGGGGTGGAGGATGGCGAAGCGAAGCATACGCAATCCTTCGCCTCCCAACGGTGGGAAGAGATGTTCTCCGACATGGGCAACGCGTTACAGCAAGTGCGAGCTCTGAGCTCCGATGTGGTGGAATGGATTCACGTTGGTGGGAGGAGGAGGATGGGCAAGCAAGTCTGGCACTGCTGGAGGGTTTTCTCCCGCTGCCGGAAGCTACACCAGCACAGCAGGAGGATACGGCTGATCGCGGGACTAGACATCTACCAGAGGCTGATGAAGGAGCCAAACTTTGGAGTAAAGAGGAAGATAATCTCTCCTGCGGCAAGAGATTTCTGGTACAGGCAGGTGGTTCCAAAAGTGCTGGCTAGCGTGACGGTCATGGAGAAAAGGAGCGTGCCATGTGTACACCCGAGCAGGATAGAGGTAAGATGATGAAACTTGCTCTGTGCTCGAATGTTGCTTCCTGCCTCCAAGTAGAGGGAGGATGCGATGAGGTTGGGTGAAATAGGAAGTGAACAAGGAGGAGGAGGAGGAAGAGGAGGAGGCACGGAGACGAGATGGAGAGGATACCCAAATTTCCTTCCCTCACCTCCCCTATCAAATTCGTCTGCCCCTTCTCCAACTTCCCTCTCTCTGTTTTCCTGATTTCATCTCCCAACAGGAAGTACTCGCATGCAAAGACGCGGTCACTCAAGCTCCCATACAACTCGTGGCGGAAGAGATCATCCGATACTTTAAGCTGAGCAGGGAAGAAATGCTCGTCCTGCCCTACCTGCTGGGATCCGGATGCTGCGACTACCATCATGGAGGGAAGTTCACGTTCGGGGCAGACCCCTGCTGCCATGCTGAGGCTATCGGAGATCTCAGAGACAAGCTCAGGGCGTTTGAGGAGAGCGGGTCGGGTATGGAGAGGAGGAAGGGGGACAAGGATGCGGATGGGGAGCGAGCATGGCGGCAGTTTGTGGATGAGGTAGAGCATAGGAGGAGGATGCTGGATGATGCTGTGGAGGCGACGCAAGAGTTCATAGACTGCAGGCAGCTGCAAGTGATCATCGACTACTGGTGAGTGAAGGATCCTTGTTGGCGGTAGACGATGCTGCTGTCGTGAGGGAATGGCCTTGAGCCTTTTGCTGGGGTAGAGAAAAGATGGGGAGGATGAAGACGATGACTGTGATGATGATTAAGAGTGGGGAGATGTTGGAAGGTTGGGGGAGGACGAGGACGAGGACGAGGAAGGGGACGAGGAAGGGGACGAGAACGAGGAAGGGGACGAGAACGAGGACAGACACAAGGACGAGGACGAGGACGAGGACGAGGATGAGGACGAGGACGAGGACGAGGACGAGGACAGGGATGGGGACGGGCAATTGAATGAATCCAAAAAGTTGTGAATGGCCGACAAGATGATAATCTTGTATCAGGTGCCCCGAGGATGATAAAAAACGATTCTCAGACGCAAAGGAATTCTCCCGCACATGTATGTTGAGACAGGGAGGAATGCCTCTCTCCTCCTCAAGCTATCATTCGAGCTCAACCTCCGGGCTCGAAACCTCTTCCCTATCAGGGCAAAGGTATTCCTCTCCCCTTCCTCCCCCTCCTGTTTGTGACCCTTCCCACTTTTTTTCCCTTGTTGCTTCAGCTCCTTCCTCACAGAATCCTCTCATTCTCCTCCTTCATCACCACCTCCACCACCTCCACCACCTCCGCCACCTCCGCCACCTCACCACCTCCTCCACCCAAACCACCTCCACCACCTCTACCACCTCCACCTCCTCCACCTCTACCTCCTCCACCTCCACCTCCCCCGCCCCAAACTCTCTCTCTCTCTCTCACACACACACAATCCTCCTCCTCCTCCTCCTCCTCCTCCTCGCTCTTCTCCATCTTGATACTGTTTCCCCCTCCTTACCCGTCGCATTCCCTTTACTTCTCGTTTTCAGCACGAGGGGTCGACGAGCATGAGCCCAGCAGGCAAGTTCCGCTCCCTCGTCTTGGTCCTCATTGGAGCCGTGCGACTATGGCGATCAACCCCCAAGGGGTTGCAGGCGTGGATGAAGGTGAACAAGGATCAAGAGGGAGCAGGAGCAGGAGCAGGAGCAGGAGCAGGAGCAGGAGCAGGAGCAGGAGCAGGAGCAGGAGCAGGAGCAGGAGGAATAGAGGGCAGAAGATGAGAACGGATCAAGGACAGGGAAGAACACAAGGAAAAGGATCAGAGCGGAAGATGTGGAATAATCGCAGAGATGGAGACGAAAACGAGAAAAGAGAGAGGAGGCGAGGAGCTGGTGCTGTTTCAAGTCAGCTTACAATCCAATCGAACAGCAGGGGTTGGAGGAGGAAGGGGAAATTAGTTTCTCTTTGCTGACGGAAACGTCTGAGCAGAAAAGATTTGCGGAGAGCGAGGACGCGTCGGAGACTTTGAACAGAAGTCAAGTAATGGTGGAGGAGAAGCTGGAGCTCGCCATCTCCAGAGAAAAGCTCGAGGACGTGGCGTTGCTGCAAGCGGAGCTGTCGAACGTGCGTGCCAGGATGAAGGTGAGAGGATGGAGAGAGAAGGAGGAAGAGGCTGACATGTCAACCACGATCCAGGAGGAAGAGAGCTTGAGGGATCGCCTGAGGGATCGCATGTACGAGCTCAGCTCAGCTGACCTCGGTCCGAAACCGCATCACCCGCTCAAGGTAGCGATCAAGGTAAGGCGAAGGAGATGGGTGGAGGTGTTAGGAAGATGAAGGCTGAGGACAGGCGGCCGCAAAGTCTCTTGTTCAAGAAGTCAAGTCTTATGTAAGAGAGCTGTTGAAGAGACTGCTGATAGCAAACTTTGTGCTTGTGTCCTTTGTCTCATCGCTCCTCTATGTTCTTCCCGTCCTCTGCTCTCTTGTGCTCCATGATATTGCCTCCCACAACACTGACTTTCGTTTCCTCCCTCACTTCCCCTCTACCTCCCAATCTCCTCCTCCATCCGTCTCCTTGTTTCCCGTCCTTCCCTTCCCCATTGCCTGTCATCTCCGACTTCCAATCTCTTCCTTCCTCTTGCTCTACTCCTTGTGAACTTATTCTTGCCAATGGGTGTCCCGTCCTCTCCAGATGCGCGACGGCCAGGAGAAGCAACTCAAGTGCGAACGATCACTGCCTCTCTCCTCCCCTCCCTCCTCCTTCTCTCACACGATTGGCAGGATTGCCGACTGGTTCTACTTCGACCAGTCCATGGACAGTGTCCGCCTCCTAGTGCAGGAGGTGAGAAACAGTTGTCTCCTCCCTCGTTGCTCAAACTACAACAGGCTCCCCCTGGAACCTTCTTGCTGAGATACTCCAAGGTATCTGTGCCCTCCCTCCCTCGCTTTGCTAGCATAGCAAGTGTAGCTGATGCCGCGGATCGTGTGATACACTTGGAACACATGACGTGAGGCCTTGGGGAGTGAACTAGACAGCAAGTGAGCTGTCAGGCTGTTCTGACAGGGATGTCAACTCCTGCAATCCCTACATCAACCATGGAGCACAAAATCCTTCCTCACAAACGCAGCATCTTGTGTCCAAGGGCTGATTGAACGAGCAGGAACCTGGCATCCTCGTTGCAAACTGGTCGATGGGGGTGGGGCAGCAGATGAAGGTAAGGACGCTGAGCTCCCTGCCGAGACTTTCCCGCTCACCCTCCCAAGTCTGCGAGGATCTACAGGCTGCAGCATCAAGTCTCGTCCTCCGAGCACGAGGCTCTTCACGACCGCAAGGGCAGTCGTGGGCAGTCGAGGTACTTGATGACGGGCACTGGAGGGATCAGCCAAGGTAGCGACGATACTGAGTGCGCAACTTGCTTGACAAGCTTGACACGCCGTACAGGGATCGATCGCCAGTCGTCATCCAGGATACCGTTAGGAAGGAAGGGTAGTCTACCGACGGCTGTCTTGTCCTCGCAGATCAGGAAGGAGGTCAGCGCAAGCATCCTTGCTCCTCCTCTGAGATCCCCTTCTGGTTTGCTCAGGACGCATTAGATCGGGGGAGGACGCCCAAGTCGGCCATGTCGACAGCCAAGAGGTGCAAGTAGCGCCTTGTTGGCTTGCTCGCTGACTGATCGACGCAGCATTGCCACACCCTTGCAGACTCGGTGAGAAGGGGAGGAGCAGCAGCTGTAAAAGAGCCTGACGCGCCCCCGTCCGCTGCTCTCAAGGTCGTCGACTATCCTAGAGAGCCACGTCAAGAAGTCGCTCATCACCAGGGACTGCTTTGCCTGGAGCAAGGTCTGCCAGCAAGGCAGCCGCTCCTCTCTTGCTCACAGCACGTCAGGATGCTACCTTGTTAGAATCCTACGAAAACCTGGGAAAGATGGTCTGCCGTCCCTTCCGACTCGCCTGCTCCTGGGCATCCCTCGCTTACTACCTGCTGTGCTGGCAGGTGTCAGCAGTTGTGAGCACCTTCCGGTACCCCGCAAAGAACACTGTTCCCCAGGTCAGGCGTTAACTGCCCTCGTTGAGGATGACTTTTGCTTCTGCATAGCTGGGAAAGCACTCAGGGTATCTCTGAAGTTAATCTGACTCGGAGGCTCAGTGCTGCCGGGCCCGGAGTCTGAGTGGTGCCGCAGTGCCGGGACTCTTTACTCCGATTGAATGCCAGTCCGGTAGCGGCCCGGGGGCGGGGCCCGGGGGCGGGCGGGCGGGCGGGGCCGTACTGAACCGTTCATCGCCGATGAACGGTAGTTCCGGGAACTGCCGCAAGGCCCCCCGCCCTCGCAGCCATTTTGGGAGGTCCCGGATCACGGTTGAGATCGGACCCTCAGCACAGTACCGCTCTTTACTCAAAGTTAAGTTAAAAAATCAGTTTCTAATTGTAGCAGTACAAGTAAACCCGGCCAGTTCGTCACATCCCCTCAAATTTCGAAAATGGAATCATCCGACAGAGTACCCCACCCCCCCTGATCAAACTTTGCCCAGTCTGTCATCCTCGGATCCTTGTACCTTGTCTATTTTAGCACGGCTGGTGAGTTTTTACCGGTCATTCCTTATCTTTACCCCTCACTGAGCCGCGTTATCTCTCACCACCCCACGTTTTCGTGCCCATTCTTGGGGTGCTACAGCAACCCGACCAGATTTTTTTTTACAAAAAAAGGTCTGAATGACAGGACCCACCCACCACCCTGTCACCGTGGGACAGGTATTGGCGTTCACTACTAAGTTACGGCCCTGTACTGATTCGCCGGGGGTGTGACCACCCCTCCTTTCATGACGGCTGGCTCATCCACCTTCAAATGGTCAGAGCCCCATCAATTCTACTTAGTACCCCTACCCTTCAGAATCGAGAGGGTGCGGTACTATTGATGGATAACAAGGGGATTCGGTGGGGTCACCGGTGGTTGACGAATAGATAAGATCAAACGAGGTGTTGTGTAGATTCAAGATAATCCAGGGGGGCGTGAAGGTCATGTAGGGTGGGTGGCAAACGCCGCTGAATCGCAGTACGGCCCAGTGGGTGGGGTAGGTGGTTGACTAGTTCAACGCTCTCCTTCCTGTGGAGGGTGGGTAGTGTAGAAAGTGGCTCGCATGTGGGAGACAGACCCGTGAAAAACGTGAGTAAAAGGTGGGTAGTTTAGATTGAGCAGAAGATACTGGTAGTACCGGTACAGATGCAAGTGAAAAGGTTGAGAAAGAGCAGAAGATAAGGATCGAGGGGGTAGGGTCATCAAGGTCACTAAAAGGAGGAGTTACCAGATAAACATCCCTGGGTAGGGTCATAGGTAATATTCAGAGGGATGTGAGTGAATGTTGCTTTGGTGGTAAGTTTCCATGAGGGGTGGGGTGTGAAAGGAACCGGTTGATGGGCAACCGGTATGCAGAGGACATGAAAAATCTGTCTCAATTGATGGGATTTTAGTGGGTACGAGATGGACAAGATGAAACACAGGAGGTAGGGGTACAATATTTGGGGGACCGTCCCCTCGATGGTACTTCCATGCATCAGGTGGGTAGGGGTCACGGGTTTCCATTAAAACCATTTATTGCCAAAAAAAAATTGACCATCAGGACCCCCTCAAATCTTCTCATCATTTGGACCCCAGCGTTCTCCCTTTGACCCCACCCTACAAGGGTCACGACCCCAGATTCCACAACTGGACCCCTTTCGATCCTGCAGAGTACCCCCCTTCTTAAGTGGGGAATTGGATTCCTTTCCAACGTGATTCCAAAGAGGGGGTCAAGGTGTGGTTGTTGCCCACCCCTACCCCCCTTCCCTGACGTTGTCCATTGCATCTCTCCATTTCCTGGGGAGCTGATCTCTACACTACATCCCACCCCTGCTCTGATCGAAGTACCCCACCTATGTTCCAAGTTAGTAGCTTCATACCCACCCCCCGCACGAACCAGTCCCGAACCATATTTGTACCAGAAAAGAGAGATGAACTACCCTACCCATGTAGATTTGGTTGACCCACCCCGAGGAATCCTTTCTGGGGAGGTGGGGTGGCCTTTCTTGCCCACTACATCTTTCACCTTCCTGCTGCTTCCTCCCACAGGCTCGTTCCCTAGCACCTGCTCCTTGCTTCTCGTTCCTACCTACCTTCACTCCTCTCCCCGTCCTCTCCTCTACAGCCTCTCTGCTCCTCTCCCTTTCCATACACTCTCAGCTCTTTCTACATCGAAATGCTCGTGTCCAACCTGCCATCAATCGACGCCCATCACACCAAGTTGATGTTGCCTAACATCAGGATCTTTGTATCGTCAGTGAATGAAGCTCGCACAGAGTCTGCTTCCTCCTTTGAAGACGACTGCTCTTGCCGCTCAGTAACGGAGATCGAAGCTTCCTCCTCTCCCCTTGAAACTGGCTCACCCAATTCCGAAGACGACATGGGTCACATCCAATTAGCCATGGACGAAACCGCATCTTTCCTGCACAAGAGATTTCAAGACGTTCACAACACAAAGCTGCCAACCTTCCAGAGGTTTTCCATGGCTTTGAAAGATTCTTCACTTCTGTTCCCTCAGAGCTTCGTGCCAAAAGGATTCGTGTTTGACTGCGAAGTTTCACCCAAGGCCTGTCCACGATCAAGCTTGATCGATCAGTTCCTGGGCAAGAGAAAAGCTGACGAGCTGTGGGATGAGCTCAGCCAGAAGAAGATGAAGAAGAACTCTGAGGAAGACTGCCTGAATGACCAATCCCTTTTCGACGAAGCGCTCAACCATCTCGAGGAAAGCATCGTGGAAGAGAAGAAGACTGCCAAGTCACCAGAAGACGTTCCTGCAGTCAGGGCGGACATCTGCAGTGGTGTCGCTCTCTTGGCTCAGATTGCAGCAGCACAAGAGTATCAGATGGCTGCCATCCAATCCAACGCGTTCAGGAGTGCCAGGGATGCCTTGCTTGCCGGGAATACCGACGGTGTGCAAAACCGGTCGTTCATGCAAGACGAAGACAAGGGTGGCGATGGTACAGTGAGGGTCTCCAAGAAGTCAAAGAAGGGAAGGAGGCATCATTCGAGGGACTCTGTCACTATTCTTCAGGTATTGACTCCTTTGTTACACTTGGATTTGTAGCTTATTCACTTCAAACAGAAATGGCTATTTGCAAATTTCCGCAATCCGTTCCCCAATTTGTTGGAGAAGCAGCAGCTCGCAAACGTGAGAAGATATATCGAACAAATCCGAAAGCTGACCCATACCTCTCAGGCTACTGGTCTCTCGGTTGAACAGATCGTTCATTGGTTCAACAACGCGAGGAAAAGAATTTGCAGCCGTGTCAAGGTCAAGTAAATGGGATCTTACCGTGAATGTAGATTATAAAGGTCGATGTATGTGATGTTCAATTAAAACGGCTACAAGAATACGTGAAGTCATACACGATTGTGCATCGGATGATCGTGAGCGTTCTCTAGCTACCAGTTTATTCCATGTTGTGCTCAAATTTATGTTTGGTTACTCATCTCCAGACGAGGATTCTTCCGATGACGATTCTTTCCACAGACTGACAACAAAGAAATCAACAGCAGTGTCGCTGCTGAAACAAGCTCTTCACCTCTCCGGGTTTGCAGCAACATGTCGATTTGTACTTTGCTGTTCGCTTGGAAGTGCTTTCATAAACTCTTCTTCTACCCCCTGCAAGTTTTCTCGTGAGATATTCCATGCAACCCCATGGCAGCATAGCTTCAGCAAGCTACCTGACAATACTTGTCGATGAACATACGGATCTTGGAGTGATAGGTCTGAGGATCCTTCATGGACAGAGCTTGTGCCGCATAAACTGTTAAGGAACAATACAATAGATAAAGCTCCTGCTTACCAGCAGCATCCGCATTGAGAGGGTCACTAGGGTTAGGATATGTCAGTAGCTGACTGCAGAGTGTTAGAGTATGTCCTAGAGGGCAGCGAGTATCTCACGGAAGAAATACTTCGAAGATGTTCACTGTGTACAAGAGTCAAACAAAGAGACAGGATAGCAAGCAGGCAAGCAAAGGGATCATGATAAGACCAGGTTACTCAAAAGTGCAGAGGAGCAGTGTATGCACAAAAGACGAGAGCATGCAAGAGCAGGTACAACGAAAAGCAACAGGGAAGGAGGGACCGGAGGAGGGCAGGGAGGATGTACCTAGATCAAACATGGGTTTCCAAGTTTGATTGATAACATCGAGGCATACGGATCCGGATTGCAGATCCTGCTGACATGTCAATACAAATGAGTTGGTGCAGAGATGTGCAACAATGTTGGGGTGGAAAATCTTGTTGGCAAACCCGATAGAAGGCGATCTAATAGAGCGTCAGGAAGGAGGTAGTCGAAGCATGGATGGTTTACTTGTAAGGATACTCCACCGGGAGCTCCACATTCACCTTCCAGACTCCTGATTCGTAAGCAGCTGCGCATGTCAGCTGTCAGAACTGAACGATGAATGGATGGAGGAGAGAGGCAGGTGGGAGGGAGGAGGGAGGCAGGGAATAACGCAGGGAGGGGGAAGGGAGAGCCGGTAGAAGAGACAAGACAAATAGACAAAAAGGCAGGTAGGGAGGCAGGAAGGAAGGGAGGAAGAGAGGCAGCGTGGAAGGGAGGAAGAGAGGCAGGAAGGAAGGGAGGCAGGGAGGGTGTGCGTGCGTAAAAAACAAGAAGAGAGGCAGACACGGAGGGAGGCACAAAGCACGTGAAAGAGAAGAGAAACGGAAGGAGTGAGGGCAGACAGTGTAGACAGTAGAGGAGAAGATAGGAGATTGTAGAGGAGATATAAGAAAAGAAACAGATCCTAAACTCCTTCCCCTCATCTTAGTCTCAACCCCCCATTTCCCTGCCCTCCTTCCTTCGAAACGCTGGTCTAGTCTCCTTACACCTCAACTAGAACCCTCTGCTGATAGACTTACTGTCCTTGGGGCCATGGAACAGCACGGAGAACTCCCTCATGGTCTTCTCGTTTGTAACGATCACCTTAAAACTGCTCATCTGCCTGGAGAAAGAGAAGATTCCAGAAGTCAGTGGAAAAGATTCGAGTCTTTGACCGGAATTTGAGATCGATTGAGCTGGATCCATTCAAACACACAAGAACGTCTGGAGCATGTGTTGGCATACGAGATCGAGTATGGAGCAACTAAATAGCACACAGCTAAACAAACAGACATGTTTTCCGCTCTATCGCTATAATCGCACAGACTGACTTGCTAATCGGGATAACAGAAAAGCAAGCGGAAAGCGCATGTCACTTGACTGAACAAGTTGGTCTCATCTGTGTCTTCACGAACATGCAGCTCATAGCAGAGGCAGCAATCATTTTGCAAGCGAAGTGAGACAGCGACTCTTACAGCTTCCGCGTGTCTTGAAAGATCCTCTTGGTCGACTCTCCCGTTGGGTTTGCGCCCCCTCTGCGTTGTCATCAGAGCTGCTCACGGAATGGAGGGCAAACAGGAGGGCAGCACGAGCTACACGGGGGTCGCAGTGAAGGGTTTCAGCACCTCAAAGGGATCAGACGCTGGATGCATGTCTCCTCTTCCTGTACCGCCCTTCTGCAACATCGATTCAGCCCAGCAATGTATCGCCATGATCCCTGGTGAGTACCTTAGCGCACCTCGTAAACGCGATGAGCTGAGGCGCACCAGGTCTGTGGGAGAAGGAGAGGAGGAGAGGACGAGAGGGAGGGAGAGGAGAAGCAGGAGGTTCTTGAGCCGCATGCTTGCCGCCTTCATCTCCTCGTCCTCTCCGATGGTTTGTGAGGATCCACTGGGTAGACTGTGTTTATACCTTCGAGTTGTATAGTTATACCTCTTGTTCCCGGGTTCGGTCGGCCCGACCCGAGACGCCGCGGAATCACTGAAAGCTTTACAAGTCACTTAATGCATCACCTTGACTCACAGCTAGGATGAGATGAGACCGGTCGATGACTTTTTCGGTCTCTCTACCCGTCAAATAGCGCTGGAACCACCGGGTACTCAATCTCGTACCCCCATTTTGATTTGTTGTATGTACCCCCCCTTTTATTTTGGATACGAACTGGTACTTTACGTCTATGGGGTCGTACATCCCCTATGACCAAGTTGCTAGTAAGCAAGGGCTTACGTGTGGGCAGTCAGCTTGCATGTTGTACCCCTACGATCGTACAAAGTACCGGTGTATAGTATGAGAAAAATAGGGGTACATGTACCACCCCTACCCATTTTAGTCTGCTGCTGCGTGTTCTTTTGAGTACCGCCCCTTTACTTGCTCCTCGCCTCCCCGTCCATACCTTGACGTTGTCGTAATAGCACGAGCGTCTCCTCCTCCTAGCTCCCCTAAACTTTCTCCTTCAACCCTACATCACCCTCCGACACTTTTCTTCTCCTCTCCCTTCCCGGAAAGAATCAACTTTGCGGCCATCGGTTACTGCAACAGACAGGATTCTTCTTCAGATTGAGTTTGATTCTTGTCATCGCTAGTCTTTCTTCGCACAATCAACTTGCCTTCAACTTCAGAACCTCTCCATCGCTTGAGTATTCCGGATCCGATTCTGCGACATCGAAAGTCTACCACCATGTCCTCTATGCCTCTTGTCTGCGCCTGTGGCGTTGTCAGCAGCTTCGTAGTGATGAGCAATGCATATGCTTCTGCATTTCCAACAAGATCAGTCAGACAGAAGATGTGTGCTAGAACTGCCGGAAGCCTGAGCAACCTGATCCAAGAACTGTCAATGGGGAACACGCCTATGACGATGAAAAGGGTTTTCGGGGTAAGGACTCGATTGCTTCACCAGGATCAGCAGCGGAAGATATACGAGGGGGTGTTCCTACTTACATCACGTGCCTTCGATCAGTCGAAGTTGATCCTTGAAGTCAACCGGACACAATGATGTGCCTGTAGTATATGCTTTTCACATGTAGAGAGTTCTTGTTCTTTTAAACAAAATCATAGAGTTTGTTTCCAGGGGAAACTCAATTAAAGAATAACCGACAATATTCGTTTGTTTCTTATACTAACATGTGCGATTCTTGCAATATTCCCCAGGAACAGTGTTGAAAGGGTTCCCATGACAAAATCCCCTTCGATTCCTCAGTTGGACGAGGCTGCCTTGTTCTTCTTCTGCAATCAAATGTCATCAGAGGAAAGTATCACCCGATGCGAATAAACTCACCGTGAAAAGCCCAGAGATGTTCGCAAAAAAACTTGCACCATCCAAGGTCAACGACCAAACACACTGCTGAGGTTCTTACCTTGTGATGTCCTGCTTGGGGGCTGGAGGCCTGCTCGCTTTCGCACCTGGGGAGCGTAAGCAACCATGAGATTTAAGATGACGGCTGACCTGGTTCGGCAGGGAGCTTGGCGATGTCGCTGTAAAGCTTCCAATTCATCTTGAGGAGCTCAAACTCCTGTATAGGATATGAGCTCGATCATCACAAAATCACAATACGCATTACCGGAGTGATCCTGAACTCCAAGCCGTTCTCCTCCGCAAATTTCTTGACATGAGGAACCAATGCGGGATATCGGTATCTGCATGGGGAATAAGAGAAATAAAGCCAGAGAGGTCTCTCAAGGAGATAGAAGGAAGAAATATCACCTGGGCATAGTTGGGAAAAGGTGGTGCTCCAGCTGGTACTGCATTCCTCCCCAGAGCCATTCCGAGAACGGATTGGAACAAACAGCATCCCTAGAAGCGGGTCAAGAACATCCCACAGACACAAGATGAAAAACCTAGTGGAACGGAACTGTCCCTCTACAAACTCAGGATTCTCGTCAAAGAAGAGTTCCTCAGACTGATGAGTGACAGTGGTGATGATGGCTGTCATAAATCTGCAATAAACATTAGTTTGCCCCTCGCTCCAACCATCGACCACACACCCCGACAAGAAGAGAGCTCCTACAAAGGTGCCAGCTGGGACCCAGTAAAGCCTTAAGCACGTGTAAGATTGAAGAAGTCACTGCAGCGAGAAAAAGGCACATGAAAGCATAATGGCAGGCAAGACCAACGAGCTCCTTCCAAAGCTTGCGCTCAACAGCGACCTTAATGACAGATTCACCAATCGATACCAACAGTGGCTAAAAGTTTACCTTGATTGAGTCGAACCTCCAGATAAAGAAGAGGAGAGACATGGGGAGAGGGAGGTAAAGACCCTGATACTTGCGCCATGGCGCATCGTTCTTGGGATCCGGAGCCCTGAAGGGACAAAATGAGCCGCATCAGAAAAAGAGTAGTTAGCACTACCAGATGTAGAGAGCGGGATCAGTTGCAATGTCCTCGTCAATGCCCACTTCATTAGTTCTGGCATGGTGAAGGTTGTGCTGATTGGATGTCAAGACAAAACAAGAAATAATATTCTTGAAATAACCTTGTCGCTCCACCACGTAGGACCCATTCCACCGCAGAGGTAGCCAAATGGGCGCATGAAATCCGCAAACTTTCCTCTTCCATGGACGTAGTCGTGTGAAAGCCATCCAGCAATGGTATTGGAGACACCAAGGACCTGCGACAGTGTAACTGGAATGCATCTTTTGAGTGTGTAAGGGCATCGTACCATGGCAGCGGCAAACTGCATCGGGAAGGTGCTAAACTGGGCAAGCATAATTCCAGCAGTAAGCCAAACCTGTGAAGATCATCAGGATTTCAGATAGTGCACAGCGAAACATCTTACAGCCCAAGAACCCAAGTTGAAGGCCTCATGTGCCCAGTCCCTCTGCAACACTATAAGTTGAAAAGCGATTTCAGGTGCAAGTGTCGAAACCTCGAACCACCCGTCGTCAACAAGCTGCTTCCTGAACTTTCTAAAGTTCATCGTAGCTGAGCTTGGCTCCTTGACTCCTTCAGGAACTAGCATGGCATGTAAGGTGCCTGACCACGCTTCCTGGTCATGTACCTGTCTTCGCTTTAGGCAATCTCTTCAGCATTTCCATCCCCTTGTCGGAGTGAAACCCGTACATGACTTCCGTTGCATCCTAATTGCAACTCAGTCAGTCTCGCTCGCTCAACAGCAATGCATGCATGTTACCTGATCTCTGTACAGGTCGATCCAGTGAGTCCCCGCAGGATGGGCCTTCCTCCACCTCGAGAGATCGTACCACACGTCATCGATTCTCACTCTCAACTGCACTCTTGTTAGGTTCCCCAGGACTGATGATCGGCTACACTGTCACCTGGTTCTCCAAGGTCTGCGTTCCTTGATAGGTCTCCGAGTCACCAGGAGCAGTCGCCGTCATCCTGAACTGACGGAGAGGGGAAGCTCTTGAGATCTGGGGTTTCCTCGACTGGATCCCTTGCATTGGGGTGAAACCTTGGAAGGCATTGACGGAGCAGAGCTCTGCTGCTGCTCCAAGTAGAATGAGTTTCTTGGAAAGCATTTTCCTGGCGCTAATCTGTTCTCCTCGCCGACGGGACACCGGGAAGTAATTTCGTGGCCTCCTACTCGCCGGAAGCAACGAGGTGTACAAAGGGCGTCAGACTATGACCGTGAAGGATTGAGCAGTCTGCAGTACTCAGGACACGACTGTCTACAAGCAGTGTGTCTCTGAGCAGCGGGTTTCGGGTTGTTACGGGTAGGGAGGAGGGAGGAGGAGGCGGCAGGGGTTTAGGCAGTGAGCTCGAGCGCAGGGGGGGTGGGAGAAAGGGAGCGGGAGGGACCCGTTCATATCATGTGGAAAAACCTGGTAGGGGTAGTCAATTTTCCTTCGGGGGGGTGGTAGCATCAACAATAAAATTTAGGTGTCCAAAGGGGTAAGGTACCTTCCGATGAGGGGGTGGTAAAGGAAAATACTGTTGTTTGGTGGTGGGGGTACTGAATTACCCTTGTTCCAAGGAAACACAGATCAACACGACGGGTACATTCCGATTTCATAGGGTAGTCTTGTGCTTTGGAATGGAAAATAGGGGTAGGGGTACATTTCTATGTTGATTTTTTCCACTACATACACACTATGGGGTAATTCGATAGGAAAATAATTTATGTATTGCTCCAGTATCGTAGATGATATCACAAACTTGCTAACGAAGATCGAAAGGCAGGGTGGGTACTGTATCAGGGGTTGTAGGCCTTATGGAGTGATGATTTCCCACGTTGACGGGTCATGAAGCTTCAAACTACTGGTCCGATTGATCAATATGGTTAAGCAGCAGGGTGGGGTCATTTTCATGAGGGTAGTGCTCCCATCATGTAGCTGAATCGGGATAGGTAGGGTACTTGACAGGTTTCCCGCCAGGGCTTTGCAGGGTCATTCCAGTAACCCACCCAGATCCTAGAATTAGATTTGATAAGTAAACTTTCGGTACCTACATACTTTAGTTACTTTATTATTAGAATCACATTAGTGTGGGGATTGATCGATCACCCTATCCAGCCCGGAATTGAAACTTGACCCTACCCATCAAGGAACACCTTCCATGTGGCTTGCCTCCGTGCCCACACAGCACCGCCGATCGTCTAAATGAACATATGACTAATTCACACCATCAAGGTAGGTGGGTGACTTCAGCGTTCAAGCCACCCCTACCCCTTCTGGCTATGGTAAAGCCGGCCTCCTACTATCAAACAACTACTCTACCTGACCCACCCCCCACTCATGTACCCCACCATCTGTTAGAGACCCATTCATCACCCCACTAGAATTCTGGTCAGGGATCTCAAAGGGTACCCTACCTTTCCCATGTCTATACTACTCTTCAAATCGGACCACCCTTGAACCTCTCCTAGTACCCTACCCTGCCGGATTCCCCAGGGTAAAACCCTGCACAAGTACCCTTGCGTGTCCCTTTTGGTTTACAACCAAGACTTGAACCACCCGTACATATTCAAAGAGCTCCCCCTTCTGAGAGCGGACCTGAAGGAATACACAGCCTATAGCCTCTAGGTTCTTGGATTATGCAATGTGGCAGTCAGTGTAACCCGCTTCCTCGATGTATTTGCCACATGTTGTAAGCACCAGCCGTATCTCAACCACCCACCCTAGAGGAATAAAATCTGTTAATCACCCCACCCCCTGTTTCCACACCGGATCAACAGCCCGAAGGGGAAGAACGCAGGGTGGGCGAAAAGAAAGAAAGAAAAGGACCGGGTACAAGTTCAGGCTGGTTGAGGATTTGTTATGGGTGGGGGTGGTCACATCGTGGTCAGGAGATCGTCGGAGATCCTGACAGGATTGCTGATATTACAACGTTTCATCCCACATTACTCCACAATACAAGTTTTCGTGACTTTTAGACTTATAGGACATCAAAATTATTGTTGTATTATCTCAAATGTACCTTTTTCGATTTATCCCGAGTGTGTTTCTGGGACTTGGATGACCAGCGTTATCTACCCACCCCACCTTCTAGAAAGTCTCAAACTTCAACCAATGTTTAGAGTAGCAAACATAGCATCTTCTTTAATTGAGATACTACTCAAAGATGCATAACATGGGTTCTCAAGGTCTTGACAAAAGGGAGACTGGTAGGCCACCCCTGGTATCGTCGCATCCCTTGGTTCCTGGCGGCGAGGTGCATCTCTGCGACTGGGGTGTAAGGCCGCGCGGTCGGGCCGGGCGGCGGGCGGGCCGCCCCGCCGCGTGACAGCCCGGCCTGACCGTACAGGCGGCGTAGCAGTGGGCCCGGGCCCGCGTACAGTACTGAGTCACAATCGGATGGGCGGGCCGCGGCCGCCCCGGCCCCGCCGCGTGACAGCCCGGCGGCCGGCCTGACGGACAGGCCGCGGGCCGTACGCCGGTAGCAGTGCCGGGGCCCGGGCCAGCGTACGGTAGTACAGCCTGAGTACGGTACTGAGTCACAATCGGATGGCCCGGACTCCGACTAACGGTTCAACCGTTGCCCGGCCACCACCCGCCGGGCGGCCCGGTGACCCGAACTTTCATACCGTGACCGTACGGTCACGGCCCGGGATCGCCGCAGTGGCCCAGTGCCACGGTGCCCGGCGGCCGCGCGTCCGATTCAACGGCCGCCCCCGGGGCCCCGGGGGGGCGGAGTGCCGCGCCGTGTACGGCCCGGGCGGGCGCCGGCCCGGTCAACGGGCCGGGGTGCGGCGGCAGGTTCTGCGCACAGTTGGCACTGAGTGAACTTACTAGGCTACGGTTATCAGTTAACTTTAGTCCGTACTACCGGGGTTCCGAGCTAACGGTTCAGCGCCGGCGTTTTGGTTGAGTCTCGCTGTCACGACGGTCCGAAGTTCAAGTTCACTCGGGCGGCCGCGGCCGGCACGGTAACGGCCCGTCCCGCCGGGCCCGGCGGGCCCGGCGCCGGGACTGAACCCGCCGGGCCCGGTTCAACGTGACGGTTACCGTCACGGCGTGGACGGTATCGTACCGTAGTACAGGACGCCGGTACAGGACCACGCGACCCCCCCGGCGCCCGGCGAGTACGGTCAACGAGCGGCTCCTGGCCGCCAACTTGCCAACTTGCAATGATCATTGGCAGGCCGGGCCGATCACAATGACTCGGAGTCTCAGTGCTTGAGCCTCTCTCGGAGTGATCGGAAGGCTTCCCGCTTGCCAGTGTGACTCAGGCCGCCCGCGGCCGTTCAAGGCGCGGCGGGCCGTGTCGGACTGGCAGTGGGGGGATCCTTGTTACTACTATCAGATAGTTTCTCCGAAGTTCAGGCTCAGACGGCTCAAACTGTTTCAGTCTGAGTTCGCTGCTGCCATCATCGGATGGGCACTCCGGCTGCCAGGAATAGAGTCAGCGGCCCCCTCCCCTGAGTCACTGGGCCTCATTCAACGGTAAGTTAGTGACTTGTTTCAGTTCTCTATGTATTGAGTAGCCGCGCAGTCACGTTAAGAGTCCGCCAATGACGCAGTGAGGCTTCCAACCTTGCAGGCTCGGGGTAGCTGTCCCTCACCGCTCGTCCTCCGAAAGTCCTGCAGAGCTCTGCTGCTCTCCTAGTCCGATCTCGCTCCCCGGCTTATCGCTCGGTCCGACGGTCACCATTCTAGGACTCTCGCCGAGGCTCTACTCGTTGGCTCATCCTCGAGAGCATGTAGTCTCGATGAGCGTCCAGAAAGGTCCTGGTGCAGGCAGCCTGGCTGATGTCTTGCGTCTGCTGTTCCTTGGCATCTGAGAGCCGCTCGGAGCATGACAGGAGCCAGGGAGGCACGTCCATGCCCATGAGGACGCAAGCTTGCTTCTGCATCTCCAGGCGAGCAAGATCCACGTCGATGACTTGGCACTGACAGTCGATCATACGGCGCTGACGCTCGACGAAGTCAACCGGGGCTTCACGTGTCTCCCTCCTCATCTTCTCCTGCGCGTCCAAGAGGCTGCGCTTGGCGGCCCGGTACTTGAGGTACTGCTTGGAGGGGTCCGAGCAGACTCGGAGGGCTGCGTCCTTGCTGATGGGGCTGCGACTGCTGTCACGGACTTGACGGAGCACAAAGGAGCAGGCGATCCTCTCTTGCTCAACCTCCCGCTGCATATCCTGCAGTCTCCTCATCTCCGCTGTGCGTCTGACCTCGCGGGGGTCGAAGTATCTGAGCATGAAGGGCTCGCGCCGCTCCAGCATTGCGGAGATCCGCTGCGAGTCCGCTCTCTTCCTGTCCTCGTCGACAGGCTGGCCGGGAGCCAAGTGCCTCTGCGCGTACTCGACTAGGCTGCTCTCGATAGGCGACTCGACTCCGCGGTACTTGTCGATGACGTCCTTGATGGCAGGCTGTAGCTCCTCAGAGAACGACAGCAGGTCTGGCTTCCCCTGACAGCTGCGGCGGAAGTGGTCGATCGGGGGTTTGAGGCACCTCCAGCAGAACTCGTGCCGGCACTTCCTGCACGTCATGTGGTCGCATCCTCCCGTCTTGACGATGCGGTACCCGCACTGGGTGCAGGGCTTGGAGGTCCTTGCAATCTCCTCCTGGTCACTGGGAGCCTCTGCTCCGGCCTCCTCGCGCTCTTCGCCGCTGGCGATCCTGCTAATCCTCGCCTTCAGGGAGGTGAGAAAAGCTTTATCGCACATGCTGTGGATGTCTTGAAGGCTCAGCGACGTCGTCGCCTCCGGCAGAGCATGGTGCTGCGGGTCCTCTACCGCCAGGTTGCGGATCATACCCTCGAGCGTCTGTCGCGTGCTCTCGAACAGCTCACGCTTCTGCTCGACGATCCGCAAACGCGCATCAACCAGTTCGACGGCGACCTTGTCGGCAGGACGAGCATGGAGCTGCCGGGAAATGGCGGAGATCTCTAGCTCCTCCCTCCTCTTGATGTTGCTGAGCCGGTCCCGCATGCCTTGCATAGTCTGCTGCAGCTCCTCGTCCACGTAGTCGCTTTCCTCCTCAAATCTCCTCATCCTCCAGCGCACGTGTTCATGGAGCTCAAGGCGTTCCTCGCCCTCCAGTCGGTCTTCCCCCCTGTACAGATCCATCCAAAGTAGTCGTGCTCGCAGCCGGGGGTCTTGCTGGGCTTCAGCGCCTCTGTCTGCCTGCTCGGTCCCTTGCGCCTCGACCTCCTGCGTCCTCGTGTCTGCTGCCGCCACATGCGTTTGACTGCCGTCAACTGTGGGCGGGCGAGGGTCGCGGGCGGCGGGCGGCGGACGAGGGTACCGTCTGAGTGCTGCGGGAGGGTCGCGCAGTCTCATCCTTCTCAGCTGATCACCCGTCGCATCGTACACCTGATCGAGAGCTCGCAACCCCTCCTCAGTCAGGACTCGCTGCTCGCAGCCGACGAGAATGTGGGAGGGAACCAAGCTTCCGGACGCCATCGAGCAAGCAGCGCAGTAGGTGGCCATGCAGCTGTCGCACTTGACCGTAGCCTCGCTCGCCGCATGTCGAATCAACACCAGCCTCGAGACGGCCTGGCAGCAAGGGGACAAGCAGGGCAGATGACCCAACTTCCAAGCGTCGTACTTGCTCTTCTTGATATCGTAAGCCTTGAGCAGACGCTGCGTTTGCTCATCGTCAGCGTAGATGAGGAGCAGAGCTTGGATGTTGTAGCCGACCATGGTGCTGCATCCGGGATGAGGGCAGGGAGGGGGCACCAGGGATTGATGCTCGTCATGGAGGACGTGCTCGAGCAGCCTCTTGAAGCAAGAGGCATGGAACATGTGACGGCAGGTCAAGCTCACCTTGTTCCTCATGCCAAAGTCTGTCTCCTGGCAGATCACGCAAAAGTACTCGCGGCCTGACTCCTCCTCCTCCACCACCTCCACCTCGTCGTTATGCTGCTGAGAGGAGCATGTGTTGCAGTCCACAAAGCGCTTGCTGAGGAGGTCTGTTATCTTGCCAGAGTCTCCGCACGTCTGATCCCATATGCTGCGCGCACGCGTCAGTGAGCTTCTCATCTCAGCACATGCAAGGATCAGGTACCTCGCAGCATCCTCGCTGCAGACCTCCTGCAGGAACTCGTACTTCCGTTTCATTGGCATCACAACCAGAGTTTCGAAGCTGCTCGGAGCAGACATGGAGAAGGAAGAGTCTTTTTGATCGCAAATGCAAGTAGGAGAGCTATGAAGATCTTGATTGAAGAAGAGCCGAAGATAGGGAAGGGAGGGAGATGTAGAGGGAGGGAGATGTAGAGGGAGGGAGATGTAGAGGGAGGGAGATGTAGAGGGAGGGAGATGTAGAGGGAGGGAGATGTAGAGGGAGGGAGCTCTAGCAGGGGGGGTTGCTTGGAGCGGGAAGCAGGTTGGGAGAAATACCAATTTCTTACCTACAGGAGAGTGCTACATCACCACTCCCTCCTGTAGGTAAGAAATGGGGTAGGGGGTATGTCGAGACCAGAGGTAGGTAGTTGATTGAGGCAAGGTATGGAGGTAGGGTATTTTTGCAGTCAGCGAAAGATGATATTTCCACCGGTATATATAGGCAAGAGAATAAGGAGAACGAAGCAGCGTTCCTGGGGACAAGTAGGGGGTAGGGGGTAGTACCAGGAAGATCCAAGTGGAACTTGCTGTGTGCTCAAAATTGTTTGTGGGACTGAACTTGAACCTAACTAAACCCACCACCGTCTCGGAGGCTTTACTCAATTTCCGACAAGTCAAGTCCGAGTCGGAGTCGGACAGTCACTTGAGTGTCCGAGGGCGCGGCCCGCAACGGTGATGGCAATCCGGGGAGTCCGGCCCTCAGAGTACGGTCCCGCCGGGCCGGCGCCGGGACTGGCCGCCGGGCCCGGGTGGGACCGACCGTGGCCCCGGCGCGTGCTCTGAACCGCAGTGTTTGATCGGACGAGGGCCCGGGCCCGTCGCCGGAACTTCGGAAGCCTGAAGTTTCGGAGTCTGACGGTTTTCCGAGGCTCGGCCGCTTTGGCCCCGCCCGGCCGCGGCCCGTTCGGGGCCGGGCCCGCCGGGGGGCCGGGCGCGGCGCCGCCGGGCCGCGGCCGCGGGCTGAGCCTCGGACTCCGGTTCACGGTTGCCGCACTGCGGCAGCCCGCCGCCCCGAACGCCGCGGCGCCGGGCGCCCGGGCCGGGCGGCCCGGTCCGTCACCACGCCGGGCCGCCCGGCATTCAGAGTCAACACTCCGAGGCTCAGTGACTGTGAGTACGCAGGCTCCGTCCGAACGTCGGCCCGGCGCGAGTGACGCCGTACTCACCGGCGAGTCACCCGGCGTCCGATCGGACCCGGCGGCCCGGCGGACTGTGGCGAACTCCCGGTCCGTGGCACTGCGGCCGCACGGCTAGGCCGTACGGTACGGTCGGCCCCGGCGGAGACGGTCGGCGAGACCGTGACCCCGGCGGCCGGGCCGCCGCCCGCGGCCGGCCGGGGGCCGCCGCCCCGGCGATGCCGCCCTCAGCTGGGGCGGGCTTGGCACTTTCAACTAGCTAGCCAGAGGCCGCATGCGTAAACATGTTTACATGTCGGTCATGGCGAATGTGCTGTTGCTGTGATACTACGTAGATGCAGTTGTAAATGCAGTTGTAGTTGTAGTTGTAGTTGTAAATGCAGTAGTAGTTGTCAATGCAGTTGTGGTTGTGGTTGTGGTTGTAAATGCAGTTGTAGTTGTAGTTGTAGTTGTAAATGTAGTTGTAGTTGTAGTTGTAAATGTAGTTGTAGTTGTAAATGCAGTTGTAGCGGTAGTTGTAGTTGATGTAGTAGTAGTTGAAGTTGAAGTGAAAGATGTGATTGTTGTGGTAGTTGATGTAGTAGCTATAGGTGAAGTTGCTGATGTTGATGTTGATGTTGATGTTGATGTTGATGTTGATGTTGATGTTGATGTTGATGATGTAGTTTTAATTGTTGGTGTAGTAGGTGTTGATGTGGTGTTGATTTTGTTGTTCATGATGATGATGGTGATGATGTTGATGACGATGATGATGATAATGATCATGATCATGATGTTGTTGTTGATGTTGTTGTTGTTGTTGCTGCTGTTGTTGTTGACGATGATGATGATTTTGATGATGATGATGATGATCATGGTCATCAGGACGATAATGCCGATTTCGATCAAGACGACGGAGATGTTGATGATGGAGGTGATAGGGATGACAATTATAACAAGATTTCTGTTAATACGATGATAGGTGTCAGAAAGACAATAAATAAAGGGAAGAAAGGAGGGAGGGAGGGAGGAAGGGAGGGAGAGAGAGAGGGAGAAATGGAGGAAGGGGGTTGGAAAAGGAATGGATGCTGGCGATGGCGATGACGATGCAGAGAATCGGTCGAATATTGTCTTGTCATTTGTAACAGATGCGTGTTGTATAACAATGATATGGTGGATGACAGTGATGAGATGAAACCTGCGATGAAAGTGATGGGGAAAACAACAATAATGATAGGAGCTGTGGCAAATGATAGCTTTGTGTATTGGATGATGGCAAATGATGGTATAAATACCATCATTGAAGATAATGATTTGGATCAAACGCACAAGAATGAGGCTGACATCGGAACTGATATGGATGGGGATGGTTATGATGATTATTACTATGTAGACCGCGCCGACGATTGATAGTGTCGGATATGGTTTGGAGGATTACGATGACAGAGGGATTAAAGAGGACAAAAAGGTGGCGGGGAGTAAAACGGGAAAGAAGACAAGTTTAGTACCAATATGAATGATGATGATGATGATGATGATATGCTTCACAGAATCTTCAATCATTTACCATGATCAATCCTTTCCACAATCAGCAGCACGCTATTTGTGTCAAGGATGTTGTTCTGATCAAATTATGATGATTCTCATTTCAAGTTTCCTAGCTAGCGAGAGTTGAGAATACTGCAAAGATATGGCAAAGTATGATGTTTGTGCTTGTTGGCTGTTTTTCATGTCATGCGCACACGTATATGCTTGTTTCATGTCATTCGCACATGTATATTCTTGTCGCTAGATAGGATATCGTCTCGAATGGGGTAAACATTTGAAAACAGCCCCAAATAATGATCAAAAGATACAAAAGACCTGACCTTTATGTTTTCAGGGCAGCAACTTTGTGATGTCGTTCAAGCTAGCGGGGAATTACACCTTTAAAGGAGAAGCTGACAAGGAGAGCCGGTCAGGATCTGCGTATGTCAGTAACGACATCATTCAGCCAAACACCTGCTACAAGGACGCCCAAGATCACGTTCCTCTTGCATACGCAGTTGTGAAGAACTTCCTCTCAGCCAATGAGGTGCAGCAATTGAAAAAATGGTTTGTCGAAAGGACAGTTCCCGAGATCAAGAGAACAAGTTTTGACGGGGAGGACCTCAACAACAACGAGAACTACAGGTAAGCGAATTCATTGCAAACCTCCCTCTACTGCAGGCTGTTTCCTGAAAGTAATCCAATCTGTTTGGTTTGCAAACTTCCACAACCTGCACGCAACACAAATCATCCATCAAGTGAATCGGAACCCACGGTGTGCCAGCTCTACGGGTGCCCTGACCCTTTCAAGAAGCAATTCCCAGGCGTCTTCTCCCGCATCATCGCACAGAAGAACAGCTTCGGCAGACTGATCGGGCTGTGCCAGGAAGAACTTGACAACGTCAACTTTGCTCAAGACATCCGCTACGTCACCTACCGCAAGGGGACCTCCTGCCCATGGCACCGTGATGATCCTACTAGCCACTTCAACACCATCATGATGATTTCGGAGCCCGGTAAAGACTTCGAAGGAGGAGTTCTTCAGGTCCGCTCTCATGCATGCCTGCTCGCTCGCCTGCAATGAGCTGATGGGCATCATTCAGTTCCATCCCACAAGCGATCCAACAGACATCAATCTTGAGAGCGGGGACGCCGTTATCTACAGCACTCCCAAGGTTGACCACGCAGTATCTGAGGTGATGGACAAACGATGAGACCGCTTCTTGTCTCATACAGCTGCAGGTGACGGAGGGAGTTCGATCGATCTGTCTGGTGGAACTGAAGCTTGAGCGGCTTGCGAAAAACAATTGGATGTGAATGAAAGTTGAATGGGAATGAAAGTGAATGGTATAACGATATTCAAGACGATTCAAGACGACGAGGATGAGCATAACTATCGGGACGAACAGCAAACCGCTGAATGAGAAATAGGGAGGGTGAAGAATAGCAAGAAGAACAAGAATCATGTAGATAGATTGTAGAGATTACTGATAACTGGTTTCAATCACTCCCGTGTACACGAAGACATGAAACAAGCTATACCCAGCCAAATGCTATTTACAAGTATCAGACCCAACAGAGCAGGTTGGTAGATGACATCAGTTCCGAGTTGGCTATAAGGCGAGTTCTTGCATTTCTTGACCGCTCGTCTCAGATTGCTCCTGCATCGATCCTCGTAGCGTGCGCAGGATCGGTTCGAACAGCACATGTATCTAAATGACGGCGGTTTCCTCACTGTCCATCTCTTCCTGACGTTCTGCACAAAAGACCATCCACTCTCCGTAATTGAGATGAGATCTGTGATATGCTCACGCTCCATCGTACTAGATGGGATTACTTTTGAGTGCTGCTGTCGTTTTCTATGTCAGGGGTCAATTGAAGATAGATTCTTATGCTGAGGAAGAGGAACGAGCTGCTTGTTCTAGCCGATAGGTACTGGTGAAGAAAAGTCTTTAGAAATATTGAAGGATAATATTCCGGACGCCAGGAAGAAAGGAAAGGAGATAATCGAGTGAAATACAACACCAGAAAGAAGATAGGAGAACGAGAAACCAGAGTTCCAAAAGAAGACGTTGGCAAGGTGAGAAGTGAATCGATCAGCTAAAAGAGGAGAAGGGAAGAGGAGGAGGAGGAGGAGGAGGAGGGTTAAGAAGATGAGGTGTATCAGGAGAAGGAGAAGGAGAAGGAGTAGGAGCAGGAGCAGGAGCAGGAGCAGGAGCAGGAGCAGGAGCAGGAGCAGGAGCAGGAGCAGGAGACGCGGGAGGAGGAGCTAAAGTTGCTGATCACGCAGACGTCAGGGAATACAGGAGAAGCGGCCATCCAGTCGATTCTTGTATTCGCAAGAGGGTGGGGTCCTCCAGAATAATTTTCTTGGAAGCATATAAAGAAAAAAACTTTTCTAATTGGATCAATAGGAAATTACACACATGGTAGTATCTATAGCATTCCTCTCAATCTCCTCAACAGCCATGAACTACAGGGTAGGTACCCACATTGTATCAGGGGTAGCCAGGTTTGACTGGCCCAAATGACCGGGTAGTAGCAGTGTAATATAAGGCAATTTGAGGGGTTCGCATTTGAGGGTGTGGGGAATATATGGTGGGTTATTTTTGAAATAACTTCTTTTCATGTCATTGTAATTGAAAATTACAACGGTTGTCATCATGGGGGCTAAAATTGCAAACTCCGCCGGCCCGGGCGCCCGGCGGCAATGCGGCACTCACTGACGGAACTGCGACCCGGCCGGGCCGGGCCGCTGGGCCCGGCCGGGCATCGGCCTGAAACACCGTGACCGTCCGATCGTGTGTCGGGCCTTTACTCAAAGTGAAGTTAAAAATCAGTACGGGCCAGTGAGCCGGAGTCCGCTCGGAATTTGGCTGAGTGAAGGCGGCGCCCCGGGCCCCGGGCCCTTCCGAACGGCGGCCGGGCGTCGGAACTTGCCCGGTTGAACATCGGATCCGTGTCAGCTCTGGGCCCGGGGACTCGTGACCGGACTTGCAACTCAAACTTTCACGCCGTCATCGGCCGTAGTGAGTGACTCGGAGGGCAGGACTCCCGGACCCGGTCTCTGAGTCTGGCGACCCGGTGACGGCGTACTCGACAGCCCGGGCCCGCGGCCCCGGGGGCCCGGCGGCGCTGCGGGCCCGGCGGCCGTCAAGGCTGAGTCGGACCCCGGCGCCGTCCGAGTCCGGGAGCCGCGCCGGTCCGACGCGGGTTTCAACTTCGTTTCAATTTGACCGCGCCTCGGATCCGACGGACTCATTTTTCAAAGTTGAGTAAAAAGACTCCGATGGCAATAATGTTTATCAGACTGTCAGTCACTTGAAGGGCCCTATTTTACTCAAGGTTGAGTTAAAATTCAGTACCAGGGCAATAGCGACGCCCGGTGGTGGCGCGAAACGTTGTCCTTTCTGACTCCTCCGTTTACTCCAGACCATGGGCAGCGTCTCTTGGAAACTCTTATTATATAACCACAAGTATACTAAAACATTGTATGAGAAAATTTAGAATGAGTTTTTGTTTCTGTACGATCCCCCCAAAGAGCCAACCTCTTGAACGCATGTCCACTCACCACCCCACCCCCCATTTCTACTGATTCTCGCACCCACCTTTAAACCTCTTGGGTTCCTTTTGGGTGTCTCCGCCTTTTCTGACCTCGTCGTTTCACCTTGGTACCCTTCCTTGGTACTACCCACCCCCTATTTCATCATTCACTGGTACGTTTGTACGGTTTGCCCAGTGGTGTTCATCTCTTTCCTGTTCGCCCCACCCCCTCCTTCATATTATATCCACGGACTACTACCCCCCTCGTCAGACCTTTGAGTGCCCCGTGACGCCATTCCAAAAAAAACACATTTTTACTCATAATATTCTTTTAGTATATTAAAACTCTACATTTCAAATCCGCCTGCGGTTTCGACTGGAGCGACAAAAAAAAAGACACATAAAACTGTTTTACATGCCTTTTTGCTCCACAAATATAGTTCTAGAGCTCTTTTAAAACATTCCATCTTAAAAGTAGCGGAGCAGACTTTGGAGTAAACCACCCCCATATCCCCTTCACCCCACGTTTTCCCCATCAAAAGACCCCTCCCTTCATGAGCCTCTCAAACCGAGAAGGGATGGGTGGTTCAATGAAATAATTAGACAATATCAATAATTGTACCAAAAGATGCTTATTGAGCATAATTCTCAGTACACAATTGTGGTGGAAGCAAATGGTAGCCACAAGCACGCCTGGCCCACGGACCAGAGGTCAAAGGAGTCAATTGGTCCCCTATAACTGCAAGGAGACGCTCGAGGAATCGCAACCTTCGACCTTTCCACGACAGTCCCCACGTTCCTGTGCTCCTCCGACTTCTTCTCGTCTCTCAAGGCAGTCCTTGTGCATTCCTGTTGCTTCTGTTCTGCTGCCCCCGCTCCTAAACCTTCTCTCTTCCACCTCTCTACCCACCTTCATCATCCCGAGTTCCCCAAATGAGGAGGTCTAGCTTCAGCTTTTCAAACGATTCTACTTCTCATATCATACCAAGAGGGGGAGACTTGATCTCTTCTCACAGCTCCCATCGAATCCCCTCCCCCTTGGAATGCATGCGCAGGAGGAGGGGCTCTTGCCCATCGGTGATTACAGTTTCGATCTCTGCTCCTTCCTCGCCAATGTGTGCTCCCATCGAGGTATTCTCTCCTACCTCAAGCTGCGACAGCTTCAACGAGTGGAAGAAAAACATCCAGTCTGGCATGTACAGCTGCAGTGAAGGTTCCCTGCCCTGTGAATCACGGACATGCTCAATGGAGTCGACTACGTACCTTTGTGATCCCTCCCTTTACTCCAAGTCGATCAACCGTGCTGGAAACTTCGTTGGCCAAGGGAGCTTCGATGCTCTTGAGTTCAGCCATAGGAGCCCGCTGAAGAGCGCGATAGACGGTAACGGAAACTTTGACAGCCTTTGCACGCGACTTTTTGGCTTTCATTTTTTCTGAGTTCGCGATGTACATACTGGATCCTCTCATATACTAGATTGTAAATAAACACAACAAAACGATAGCCCAACATGCTTGTTGAAAGTTTCTGAACAAATATGCAATCATAGCATAAGTGATCAGTTTCAATGCAGTGCTCTCCGATGCGAGTTCAGTGAACGGTGCAGCAACCCGCGGTACCCCGAGCGGCTGCATGCCGCCGCGTCGGTGACCGCAGACGAACTTAGCTTGATGTGCATCAGACTCCTGTCATTGACTGACTTTGCAGTACCCGCGGCCAGAGCCTCAGGATAGCCGCCGCATGACACTGTGGGTCAGACTGTCAGTAGTCAGAATCATGCAATCATTCTTCCGAGTTCACTCATTCCTGGCAATGTCAGTGAAGGCTCATCCGGTGACAGTTGAAGGCAGTCAAGCAGACAGGGCTCCGACCCCAGTCAGGGGTCAGTGGCCGGACCCTTGACTCTCAATTAAGTGTGGGACAGGCTCCTGGCTCAGATCCTGCGACGGCTCTGAGTCCACTCAGGGTTGGAGTCCGTTCCGCTGAGTTCCCGGCGGCCCGTCCGCCGCCGGATCAGTCGGATCGGATTGCCAAGTTGCACAGCCTGGCAGTGCCACGGTGGCCCGGCCCGGCGGCGGCGTGACTCCTCGTCACCGAATCATCCGGCGGAACTCGGAACTTCGGAAGTTCGCCACCGTGACTCAGCAACCGTTGAACGGTTGAACCTTGAACTTGGCAATGCGGCCGGCCCGGCGGTTCAAATTCATACGGCGCGCGGGCCGGGCTGACTCAGTGACTCTCACTGCCGGCCCATGTGCCGGGGGCCACTGGGGCCACCTCCGCCCGCTGAGTCACTCGGGGTGACCGTACCGTGCGTCACGCCGTAGTACGCCCGTACGGTACCGTACTGTACTACCGTACGGTACGGCGGTACGGGGCCGGCCGGCCCACGGTACCTGCCTGGCACGGTACGGTATGGACGGTCCGGCCGCGCCGCCGGGCCGGGCGGCCACCCGGCCGCCGGCCGCCTTCCCCGCGTGCGGTCACTGCACTAGCCGTGACCGACTCGGAGACGGTCACTCCGACTCGCCTGCCGCGCCGCGCCTCGGACGGCCGGGCCCAACTTGACTTGCCGAGTAAGTTAGGTCAAGCTCGCCTCGCCGGAGTCGGAAAGACAGCAGCACATAAACTACCAGGAAAAGCAGAGCCCTCCGACGCGGGGTTGTTACATGTATAGCGGCCTCGCCATGGTTTCGCAGCGTGTATCGCGCTGGCTGCCATGCCCGCACATGCACGTTGAGCTGTAGACTTCTTCTCGTGTTCTCTCGATGAATGTGTGGTTGCTTCTTGTTGGGTGATCCGAAGATTTTCTGAACGATCCTTGTGAACGATGAAAGATCCCTTCGTGTTCCTTTATATGAGGGCGGTGGGTCGTAGCAGCGTCACACGGTCTTTTTAACCTTCCTCTGATTTCCTTACCTTCTTGAGCACAATCTTGCTGTGATGTGAAGAAATCAACATCATATTGACCTATCCAACACTTTTGTGCTGCCTTGAAATGCGCTCGCAGCTCGCTTGAATTTCTTGCTGCTGGTAGTCGTTCATTGAGTTTTTTTTTTTGAAATCTTCTTCTGTTGCTCTTTGCTGACGTTGTTTCCTTACAGGAGGTCTTGCGGTTAACGCAGCAATCGAGGAACCATGTCCACCTTGAGATTGGTCGTGCTGACCGCCGCTGTGGCTCTTGTGCATGGCTTTCAACTCTCCTCCCCTCTTCTCCGATCCCCAACGTCTCCTAGTGTCTCAAAGTCCTTCTCCCGCTCCTTCCAGCCGGCATACTCGGCCAGATCTCCTCGCACCTCGGCTGTGAGATTTTCCCAGTCCTCAAGGGACCTATCGATGAAGGTGGACTTGTCCACAGCCAAGCCGGAAGATGTGCGGGTGCTCGTGGCTGGGTGCACTGGGTACATCGGGAGATACGTGACCAAGGAGCTGATCTCAAGGGGTTACAAGGTAGTCGCCTTCTCCCGCGAGAAATCCGGGGTGGGAGGGAAGAAGTCTATGGACGACGTGGTCAAGGACTTCAAGGGCGCTGATGTCCGTTTCGGAGACGTGACCGACTTGGAGTCTTTGAGAAGCGTTGCGTTCAAGGACAAAGTCGACGTTGTCGTCTCCTGCCTTGCGAGCAGGACAGGAGGGCTGCAGGACTCGTGGGACATCGACTACCAGGCGAGCAAGAACTGCCTCGACGTGCTCCGGGAGCAGGGAGGGTCGCACTACGTCCTCCTGTCTGCCATCTGTGTGCAGAAGCCTCTGTTGGAGTTCCAGCGGGCGAAGCTGAAGCTGGAGGGAGATATCATGGAGCAACAGGACGTGTCCTACTCTATCGTCCGACCCACCGCCTTCTTCAAGAGTCTTGCCGGGCAAGTGAACTTGGTCAAGAACGGCAGCCCCTACGTCATGTTCGGGGACGGAGAAGTTTGCAAGGCCAACGCCATTAGCGAGCCTGACCTTGCCATCGTCATGGCGGACTGCATCACTGACAAGTCCCGATGGAACAAAGTGCTCCCCGTTGGAGGCCCTGGAAAGCCTCTCACCCCCCTGGAGCAGTCAAAGATCCTGTTCGAACTCTTCGGTCTTGAGCCCAAGTATATCAGAGTGCCTGTTGCGGTGTTCGACGCCATCATCGGCCTGCTTGACGGCATTGCCTTCTTGTTCCCGAGGTTTGAACGACTTTATCCTCCTCCTTCGGCTTGCGACACCTTCTGTTCCATGTGCTTCTGTCTGTTCCCTTTCGATGCAATTGTTCGTTGTTTCTTTTCTTGTTGGTTTCTTTCTCGTCCTCCATACCTACCCCCTTCTCCTGTTACTTTGCTCCTTGCCTCCTCTCGATTTCTCTTCATCCTCTCTTTGTCTCTCCTCCTTCCCATCTCCCTTCCTCCCATGTCTCCTCTTCGCTTCTCTCGTCCACTCTTTTCATCTCATCTCATCTCATCTCATCTCATCTCATCTCATCTCATCTCATCTCATCTCATCTCATATCCTTACTCTGCATCCTTGCAGCTTCAAGGACAAGGCTGAATTCGCTCGCATCGGCCGCTACTACGCCACGGAGGACATGGTTGGCCCATCCTACGGCACCACCACCCTCAGGTGAAGGCAACGTTGCATTGAGAGAGGGGGTGATGTTAGCTGCAGAGAGTTCTTCAAGGATGTAGCCGAGAATGGCCTCCAAGGACAGGAGCTCGGCGACCAGGTAAGAATCTGGAAGGGAAAAGGGATGGGGATCTGCAAGGAGAGGAGGGGGGAGGAAATGTTGTGGGGGTTGGGGAAAAAAGGGAAGAGAGGGGAGGGAAGAAGGGATAGGATATCAGGCCATGGAAGCTTCTTGCGTTTTGAGTTGTGTTTTATCAGGCTGTCTTCAACATTAAGGGAGAGTAAGAACTACTGAAGGGCTTGATGTTGGCTGGTCTTACACTTGAAATGAATTTCTTATTGTTTGTCTCTGGGAACTACACTAAAAATTTCTGACGCTTGCAGTAGCAAGTGAGATTTGAGCACAAAGCACACAACGAAAGGGTGAGATGTTGTGGATTGGAGGATATGACACCAGATATGTTGAGATTGGAACAAAGCGAGCAAGACTGTCGGTGTGAGAAATATGTGACATGCAAGAATGAACTCTTCAGTTCAGTGAGACAAACCTTGTCAGTCATGTGCAGACAATGATTTGGTAAATCCCTGAAGCCCTCATAATGCATGCATCCTATGGCTCCGCTCGAGCTGCTACGATGCTCGTGAAATCTTCTTCCTCCTTTGATTTCGATCGTCTTACATCACATTCCATTGCGAGTACTTCCTAGAAGATATGCAGATTGCACCCGATACCTTGCTCCCGGCTCTCCCTGATCTCTCCCTCTCCTTCCCTCAATCTCTGTCATCGTACCCTCCTCCTCCTCATACAGCGTCGTCCGCCGCCGACATTCCTGGATCCTGGGGGTGTCAATGGTGGGTCGCAAGATGGGTCAACTTGTGGGGGTAGGGGTCGGATTCAACTGGGTGGGTACTTGTTTATACAAAATGGGGGTGACAGTGATTTATGGGGGGTCCATTAGACCTGACAAATTGGTGTTCTAGGGGTAGGGTGGTTCCCATTCCCACAACCGGCGTAGGAGACAGCAGGAGTGTTGGGATAAACTAGAGGGGTGGGGGTACAGACATTTTAAATTAAGGGGGTACCAGAAATTAATAGTTGAGCCTAGTACCATCACCCTTGAATTTTCCCAATGGATCAATTAGATAAAACAGCTATAGTCATTATTATTGCGGTGAAGCAATGCAAGTAGGGGGTACAACTCCTCCACGGAAGTATTCAAAAATTATATATTGAGGGGTAGGGTGGATTTTACAGGACATGTGGAGGTGGGGTGGGTGGACATAAGAAGAATGCTCTTGACGATTGTGGGGAGGACACAACGAAAGGAGGAGAGGAGAGGAGAGGAGAGGAGAGGAGAGGAGAGGAGAGGAGAGGGGAGGGGAGGGGAGGGGAGAGCAAAGCAGAGCAGAGCAGAGATGGAAGGTACGGGAGAAGAACGATGCTGATAGTGTGTAGATAGATTGAACTTTAATTTCTTGTTTTTGCAAGATGAAATAGGTGAAAGGATTGAAGCAAGGTCAAGAGATGTAGGTTCAACCAATCTTTGGATCGGATGAGGAGAGAGATTGGCATTGAGGTGCGAGGCATCATCAGGATAGATGAGGAGAATCTTTGAAACTCTAGCCAAGTTGCAAGAATTATGATTACATACAGAGTCATGGGAGCGTTATGCACTAGCGCAGCAAACACATTCCTGTCATCTTCTGTTTGTTGTCTCCTCCCATGGCTGCGTGAATGACCTAATACCAGGCCTTTCAAAACTTAACCATGCGTGCGATGCTTCGTGCTACCCCCCTCCTCCTCCTGGCAAGCTGTGCGCAGTGCGCAACAGTCTTGCAAGCTCCTCGTGTCCCCGGCCTTGCTCTGCGCCAGACCCTGCGAGGAGGATACTCTCTCGTGAACCCCAGCAACACCAAGGAGACCTTCCTTCTGGGCGACTCGAGGAGGATATGCGTGTTCGAAGACGGTGAGAGGAGGGAAGAAGAGGAGGAAGGCAGGGAGGGAGGAGATTGAGGGATAGACGAGAGGGCAGGAGGGAGGAGGGAGGAGGGAGGAGAAGGAGGAGGAAGAGGAGGAGGATGGGGTTGGTTTTTGACTTAGAACAGACAAGGCTATTTCTGCAGCAGTCGTCGAGACGGTGGAGGTATCTTGAACCCCTTGATTGTAACAATGTCGTGAATTGAGAATCCAAACAGATCATCGTTTGCGGTCGCCCTCCGAACCGGATTTCA